GTTAGCCTATATTATTTTGAAACGTTTATCCACGTTCATTATACATGTAAAAGGGACTGGCGGGGTTTATTAAAACAATTATCATAACTGTCAGTTTTAAAATGCTTTAATTGAATTGAAAATTCGTCAGAACAATGTTTTCACACGTATAAAAATGAAAACACACCTAGGACTGTAGATGCAAACAAGAACCCTAGCTAGAGCATGAAACATCACCATGGCGCATGCGCAGTGTTAATTCCATATAGATTTATAATCTAGATCATGAATTCCAATCTTCAAATGCAATTATTTGAAGAGATTCCTCGATTGGATTGTGAGTATAATTAAATAAAGAATCTAGTTGAATTCAAAGACGATCCTATCAACAATTTGTCTTTATTGGTATAATATTAACTCAACAGTCCTTGGCTAATACAATAATTTGTCTATTCGACCTGAAGAATGCTAGATAGATCCGTCTCTATAATTATCAATTTAATGAGAAATTAGTTATTATTATAATCGTATCATTGTACTTCTAAAATTATATCATATATATTATAGATAGGTCCAGTGCGAGAGGGCAATTTCTAAGGTGGATCCAATGTTCTTTATTACCTAATTACCCAAATGCGAGTAGGTAGTTACCAGTTTCACTACCAGGTGGCTGATTCGGGCCAATTAACATGGCAGGTATACAAGAAAGTTCCCTTAAACTTGAATATTATCAACTTAAGTGGCTCAATTTTCATATAACCCTTATGCGTCTGATACGTATACTAATGAAAATATGTCCAGTAAAGCAAAATATTATCTGTCCACTAAAAGAAAAGATATTTCATTTTTAGTGATTTTATAGCATGGGGTCTATGGGGAATCTCCCCGAGCTAGAAGTCACATTTTCAAAGAAAATTAATTTTTCAAAGTTGATTAACACTTTTTAAAACCACATTTCTAGATGTAATTTTAGATGTAGATTTCAAATATGATATTATTTTGACTGAATTTTGAATTTTTAATGACGTAAATCAAGATTATTTCTACTCGCATCTGGGTTATTGTCATACGCGACATGCGTTTCAATCAACAGGAACTCATTGAATCATAAATATAATGCTCCTTAGAAGATTCCTAAGCTAATTTACCACCACCCTGCTTTGACTGAAACTAATTATTCCGTATATTCTCATTATCTATCGAATGCTTTTCTCAAATCGTGTTTTCCAGCAGTTATATCCAATTTTGTTGTAATTTCACTTGAAAGTAAGAACTTTAGTATTATTATATTCGATTAGGTCCTTAGCCCTATTTGTAAACTATCAAATTACCTTAAATCGTAAGATTTTAAGTATTACCGTGAATACTTATCCGTCACAATAGGCGATTTTAGGGCCCATGTTTTTTGTCAATAATTTGTTCATATCTGTAAAGCACTGATGGACTTGGTACTTAGCCACACATAAACATATTTAGAAAATCACTTAACATTATCTCTAAACAAAACATAATATATTAAATTGTCATTGTAAGTTACACAAATCATTTTAAAATCCAATATCAAACAGATTATGGTCTTTGTGGTTATCTAAAATGTCTTTGTTGCTTTGAATGAAACCTCGTTTAGCATACGAGGTTTAAGTATTGTTGAATTAGGTTCTTCATTTACTTCAATCATCGCTAGTGTCATCAAATCACAGGTAAGTACGGCGTCGAGAATAGAAATAAAAATTGATACACTGAAACTAAGGGCCGCTATCTTGTTAGGCTCATTTCTTTGATTCAATATAATGCCATTTATAACAATTACAGTGAGATCATCATAATAATTATTGTATCGTAGAAGTTTATCTATCAATTTATCTTGAATTGACGCTCGTTTTCGATTTTGGTCTCACAAACTACGGCTTAGCTACTACAACTACGTTTGCGACTCTAACAGTATCTAAACATATCAAGAATGCTATCTTTTTAATAGCGTAATTAAATGAAATCCTATATGCCACTGAATAGTGAAATCAAAGGCAATAATTATTGGCTCTTCAAATAATATCTGTTGAAACAATTATTTCAAATAATAACTCTAATTATTAACTAACTTGTCTTTCCCCGGAGATTCTTTTCAATCAAAATATCATTAAGCCTCTTTGTTACGTTGGGTGAGACACATATAAACACTTTTGCAACGCAGTAATAATTTCCTCTTTTTTTAAGAAGTAGTTTGGTAAAATACAAAATCGCAGCAAGAATATCCTATTAGTTAAATTACAAGAGATGTGAATCAATTGGCGTATTCAGAAGAACAATTGAAAACGTTTTTTATTGCAACATTTATTTGTTATTCTGTAGAAATTTATATGTGTAATCTCTAAGCAGAGTGAAGTGAATTGCTTTGATAATTGCTCTGTGTAATGTGATACGTGATTGAAATATAGCTTTACATTCAGAGTTCATACTGCACTTGAAAATATAATTATAAATAAACTATTCAAAAGGACTAGAAAACATTCTGTTTTCTGCAAAGTGCCACTTATGTGCTCTATGTTCTTTAAATAACTACTACCGTTCAAAAATTAGATGGGGGAGGGGGACAAACGCTATCCCATTGTTGCCTCCCCCTTCCCTCCTCCTAAGGGTGGTAGGTAGTCGTTTTTAAAGCCATGGAGATACCCATTGTATTATTTTGATAGAGTGTAAATATTTTCGTCTTTGAAACTATAAGATATAGTAGCTTTGCCAAAAACTAGTGGTTTTGTTATGTCACCACCAAAAAGTGGTGACATATTGTTATGGTCTCCGTTTTTTTGCGACGGCGGTTGGTGGTTGGCGTCCGGCGTCTGGCGTCCGGCGTCTGGCGTCCGGCGTCTGTAACAATTTCTTACAACTTCCTATAACTTAACAAATACTGTTTAGACTGACTTCAATTTTTTTCTAAATCATCTACATCTTCTCAGAAGTTCAAATCTGACTTTAGATTTGACATTTGACCTTCAATGACCTTCTCAAGGTCAAAAAGGTCTTTTTTCAACTTGCTTCACATTGACTAAATTTTTTTTCAAAATCATCTACATGTTCTCAGAAATTCAAATCTGACTTTAGATTTGACATTTGACCTTCAAATCTGACTTTAAATTTGACATTTGACCTTCAATGACCTTCTCAAGGTCAAAAAGGTCTTTTTTCAACTTGCTTCACATTGACTAAATTTTTTTTCAAAATCATCTACATGTTCTCAGAAATTCAAATCTGACTTTAGATTTGACATTTGACCTTCAAATCTGACTTTAGATTTGACATTTGACCTTCAATGACCTTCTCAAGGTCAAAAAATGTCAAAAAGGTCTGTTTTCAACTTGCTTCAAATTGACTAAATTTTTTTTTCAAAATCATCTACGTGTTCTCAGAAATTCAAATCTGACTTTAGATTTGACATTTGACCTTCAATGACCTTCTCAAGGTCAAAAAGGTCTTTTTTCAACTTGCTTCACATTGACTAAATTTTTTTTCAAAATCATCTACATGTTCTCAGAAATTCAAATCTGACTTTAGATTTGACATTTGACTTTCAAATCTGACTTTAGATTTGACATTTGACCTTCAATGACCTTCTCAAGGTCAAAAAAGGTCAAAAAGGTCTGTTTTCAACTTGCTTCAAATTGACCAAATTTTTTTTTCAAAATCATCTACGTGTTCTCAGAAATTCAAATCTGACTTAAGATTTGACATTTGACCTTCAAATCTGACCTTCTCAAGGTCAAAAAGGTCTGTTTTCAACTTGCTTCAAATTGACTAATTCTTTTTTTCAAAATCATCTACGTGTTCTCAGAAATTCAAATCTGACTTTAGATTTGACTTAAGATATGACATTTGACCTTCAATGACCTTCTCAAAGTCAAAAAAGGTCAAAAAGGTCTTTTTTCAACTTGCTTCAAATTGACAAAAAAATTTTTTCAAAATCATCTACATGTTCTCAAAAATTCAAATCTGACTTTAGATTTAACATTTGACCTTCAATGACCTTCTCAATGTCAAAAAAGGTCAAAAAGGTATTTTTTCATCTTGCTTCAAATTGACTAAATTTTTTTTTCAAAATCATCTACATGTTCTCAGAAATTTAAATATGACTTTAGATTTGACATTTGACCTTCTCAAGGTCAAAAAAGGTCAAAAAGGTCTTTTTCAACTTGCTTCAAATTGACTAATTCTTTTTTTCAAAATCATCTACATGTTCTCAGAAATTCAAATCTGACTTTAGATTTGACATTTGACCTTTAATGACCTTCTCAAGGTCAAAAAAGGTCAAAAAGGTCTGTTTTCAACTTGCTTCAAATTGACCAATTTTTTTTTTCAAAATCATCTACATCTTTTCAGAAGTTCAAATTTGACTTTACAAGTTCTCAGAAGTTCAAATCTGACTTTAGATTTGATCTTTGACCTTTAATGACCTTCTCAAGGTCAAAAAGGTCTTTTTTTCAACTTGCTTCAAATTGACTAATTTTTTTTTCAAAATCATCTACATGTTCTCAGAAGTTCTTCTTAAGGTCAAAAGGTATTTTCCAACTTGCTTTAAATTGACCAAATTGTTTTAGGTGGTGACATTTTGTCATGTTAATGCCTTGTTCAACGTTGCATTGAATTCATAAAATGGTTAGAGCCAGTTCTAAAAAGCAAGCCCAATATACCTCCTCCTAGAACCCCTCTTTTTACTTTTGAAAATGGATTCTATACATAGAGGCTGTACTATCCAATATGAATCTATTTGTTGAGATTTGAGTTTTTATGAGAACTTGTGATATATTCGGATATACCATTGACTAATGACTTAGCATCGAGATACCATCATGTATGTCACCATGGCGGGATCATGACATAAAAAATCTTTTCTATCTTTTCTCAAAACTCAAGTTGATCGAATCTCAACAAGTACATTCATATGGGATAGGATTGCAAAAATCCATTTTCAATAGTAAGAAATGGGTTCTTAAACAGGGCCTTTTTGAAATTTTTGGTGAGTTTTGGTAGTTCTTCTCTTGGAAATAAGGTTTACGACGCTCAATCAAAATAAATAATGGAAATGATTTAAGGGAAAATATAATTCGATTCAATATATTAAATTTTCAGCTCAGTTACAGTATGCATTCGAACATAATATATTGTGCAAAAATCTTGTCAATAGAACAAAATGTGTCCATGTTGATCAATCATTACATCAATGACTACTAATTCATAGTACCGCTTAATACAGTTGAAACATCTTCTAAATGTGCCTTGCTTGGTCTTGCTGAAGGTGCAGTTGATATAATAACAGGTATATGTTTATTCACATTATGTCTGTCTGTTTGAATTGGAGCAAATTCAGGGTAGTGTTGCTCCGAGTACATCTTGAAAAGTGTCCCAAGGTCCAAAGGAACTAAGGAGGTTTTTGATCGCCCCAGTTGCCTTAGCTTTGCTGTTGTAATTGATGACCTTGACCTTACAGACAATGACCTTGATATTGACCGTGTATTGGCACTGTCTTGTTGTTCGACTGAGTCCTCTAAAGCTAGCATTAGTGCATCTCTTGAATTTTGTCCATCAATTGTAGCTTCCAGACTTTCATCACCTGCGATTGAAAACGAAGGCAGAATAGATGGAAGCCGGAAGTCAGCATTGAGTGCACTTGCAAATGGATCTGTTTGTCCTTTGACATGGTTGCATTGTGGTGTCCATGATCTCTGGTACATGGTCATTGAAGTGTTGCCTCTTTTAAGGTTTCCCTGTGTCGACTCCCTCAGGAGGCTGTCTAAAGGGAGTCTACATGGCATTGTCTGACTTCTGCTTTTTCTAAACTCTTGTTGCATTCGAATTTCATAGCTTTTCTGTACCCATTCTTTCGCATTAAGATAGAACTCGTTGTCTCGTAGTGTCGGGGATGGGGAGGCCAGTGTAAGGATGTGGTATGCAGACGCATAATGACCATACTTGCAGGATAGTAGGAGAGGGGTGTAACCAATGTTATTGCGTATGTCAACCGGTAGGCCGAATCTGAAAAAGAAGATAATATCTAAATAGAGGTTGACTGGAAGAGGCAGGTGAAAATATATCTAATATTGAATATGATTAATAAAATGAAGCGTGTAATATTAATATTAGCGCATTAATTACTTTATTTATACCATGTCATTTCGAAATTTTACAACTTAGAAAACACTTACTTTACAATGACGTTAACGAGGATGCGAACCACCTCAGGATCACCACAGAGAACAGCATGGTGTAATGGTGAGTTGCCATCGTTGTCAGGATCGTTTATATCTAAAATGTCCTCCTTTAATAGTTTCTTCAAGATCTCAGCTCTGCCTTTCATACATGCATAACTAAGAGCAGATCTATTCATATTGTCTTTTAGATTCAAAAATGCCCCAGCTTTTAGAAGTACTTTGGCCATCTTCAATCCATATTCAACATTATCGAGAAATGTTGTAAGCATAAAAGCTGTTCTTCCATAGTAATCTTTCGAATCCACATTCGCGCCATGTTTGTTCACTAACAAACGAACTTGGTGTAATCGGCCATCCAGAACAGCTTGATGGAGTGCCGTTTTCATCGGACGCTTGGGATGAACAAGTTTATTGGCAACAGCGATCGTTGTCCTCCCTGGTTCTCCAGTATCATCCATTTTTGGAGGAAATTCTTCTCGTATCGTGTGAAGGTTATTCGAGTTTTCGAGTTTGTTTTGAAAAACTAACATGGCGGCTTGCTAGGTAGTAAATCCTCTTATAAGCTATTTATACCACTGGCATATCTTTGTCAGATAACAATACATCAAGAATAAGTTTGTTATATTTGATGAATGCTTCTATTGAACAAATCGTACCTTGCGTTTATTCGGGAGCATTCAGACGAACGATTGTTTGGTTAAAGTCTCTTAGCGACGGGCTTTCACTTAACTTTAGAGATCACGACCTGCTAAGTCGAATTGATCAAATGCATCTAAATCGATACAAGTGTCCCAGACTTGTCCTAGATCCATTAGTGAGACAAAATAGTCAATTAGTGGCAAAGTGTCAGATAGATCGCGCAATAATTTAATGTAAACAATGCAACGAAATAGTATTGGAATCATTCTGGAAAGCTTACATTGAGAATCGCGGTAACTTTTCAATTTCAGCAGACCACTTCTTCGAAATATGTGAATGCGTAATATACCTTTTGTTATGCTATTTGGTATATTTACAATTGTTTTATGAAATTGTGTAATATCTATTAAAGAAAACCGAATCACAGAACCTAGTTTTAAGGGTACATTCTTGTTTTGTTTGGATAGAAACCTACTTGAGCGCAAATTCAATAACACAATTTTAACTGTTCATTCGACTCGATATTTTATTTGCATCAGAATGGAAATGAAAAATCGATAGTTTTAGTTGAAAAGTTAAAATTGTATTTTATTTATAATTATAATTAATAATAATATATAAATAATAATTATATGATAATTTATAAATTTGGAATCATATGGTCATCATCATGAACTATGGTTGTGAAGAATCACGTAGACATCCGTGAATATCCTATCCAGTAAAAAAATTCAAAATAAAAAATGCAGCGATGCAATTTGTTAATTAGTAATAATATTTGTTGATCAAACACTAGAATACCTAGAGTGTCTGGTGAATCTATTGACAAAGTACAAATGTCACAGACAGACAGAAGGAAGCTATTGTCTGTTAACCGCACCACATTTTCATTTTGCCTCACCTTTCGAACACATCATGCCATTTGTTACATTCTCATTATTGGATTATAAATGACAATACCAATCAACATCAGCGTTCTCAAAATAATCGTGGCAATTATATGATACAGACAAGGCATTTGACAGTGCAATTATCGAATTTATCTTAGGTAAACAATGACACGTTTTCAGAGACGATGGATCTAAAACGCCACAGGCTAACTCGATGATTCGAACTTGCCGCCGAATAGTACTTATACGTGCTTATATGTATTAGGTTTCAGAAGCATAAAAACAAATATTTGTGAGGTACTTCAATGTTAATTTGATCTTATAAAAATGTATCGGTTTTGGTTTGATACGTATAGGCCTACCACTGTTCAAACTGTACTTTTTACATGTATGTCCCCGGGGATTTGTAATTCAATACTTATACTAGCTTGTATCAAGAACACCAAAAGGTTTGATAAAGTGTAAGTAGGTTGTACGTGTCGATTACCAATATTATATCTCATGATCAGTTCATTTGCATTCATGAATATAAAATTTCAAAGATACAATTTTTTTCTTTGAATTGTAAACCTACTCAGAAATTGTGCGTTTTTATATATTTTTGCATCCAAGGCTCTTCAAGTTGATGTGACGTTTCCGGCATTTACCGTTTAAAACTGAGGCCCAGGAATACGTTAAAAATGTTTAAAAAGTCCCCTAGTGTACTTTTACTATATTACTTACATTGAATAAGAATAAGACTGATTTTTTATCTATGACTGTATACCCGGGCCTCAGGTTTAAAACATAACGGTTTCATAATTTCATAATTTCAACAAGGCATTATCATGGAAAAGCACTACCTGTCATTTGTTACAGGCGCCCACCGCCTGACTACAATCGCCGAACACCGTCACAAGTTAGAGACCATATTACAATACATGTATGTCACCATTTTTGGCAAACAGGAATATGTCTAACGTCAATCTGCTAATGCTATTCCTATATTACTCCAGGAATACTGGGCAGTTTGGAAATTCTTAGCTATCTGGTATTTTCGGACACTTACAGTACCCGTTTATTCCTACACAAGTTTAGATCATCTAATTACACAGGCAAAGGTTAATTAAATTTCTCATGTGTTCATAACGTGAATATTTGGCAAATTGTTGTTTATTCATCTGCGTACGTATGTTAGTAAGGTAGGAGACTTGATGGATGGGGGTTCAGCTGTTTAGCAACATTCCCATTCCTCTCTTAGCTAAACCTTTTCCTTGCTAGATAAATATTGTCTTATTCCTCAGCCCGTCAGCGTGACTAGTAATTAAAACACACAAAGTACGCAGCAAGCGAAAATAAACAGCCCGTACGAAGAAGGGAACCGTGTTTGGTAAATTATAATCATATCATGATAGAATGTACGTTGAAGGCACGAAGTGGAAAGTACTGAGATGGGTTTAACGCCTGGAAAAATAAACGGAGCCCATTTAGAAGATGTATACATAAGTTGTTTAGCTAGTTAATCTTTGTTTTTACTGGTGATGTAGAATCTCCAACCATAAATCTTAAAGATGAACACCTTCCTTCGCCATTCCAAGTAAGAACATCACAAGAAATGAATTAAAGGGGGGAAAGAAACCCGAATGGAATAGTGGCGGTCTGTAACTATTAAATTCCAAATTAATTTTTCACAACTCTGCCATGGGTCTTTCTGAATGTGTCAATCCCTGTGAATGTTTCTTCAACATTGACTTATCCCCGCCCAATCCTGTTTCCTCGCCATACCAAAACTAATTGAATTTACAAGATAATCTCTGCAATCCAAGGGTTTGGATTTTTATAGTCTTTGAGATAATTTTCTTGATGGATTAACATAATTTTTCCCACCATGTTTGCAGGTGGGCATTCTCTTTCAGTCATTAAATGGCGTATTGCACGGGTTAACCATCTCTCAAGGGTTTACCTAAACACTAGATATTAAATGGCTTTATTGGTCTTTATCATATTTAGCACTTTGAGGAAAGAAAGTGCCTTAGAATACGATTGTAAATGAACCATTGAGGATGTGTCACTTAATCCAAATAAAAACCTCAATCCTAAAATAACATTATTTCTGTGTTACCTTTCACAAGTCTTGACAAAAGTTTTCTTTGCGCGTTTATATTAGGAGGAGCGGTGCTAAGTGCGCACAAAGACGTGTCAATATCATCGTTTATAGATTATCGTAAGGCTTTGTTGGAGCTGATCTTACTGTAAATATTGACTGTATGTTTTACTAATAGTATAGTCTCTTTGAATAATAGTTACATTTTTTTCTTAAGTTCAGATAATAAGTTAGAAAGGTTGTCTGAGAGCCAGATCTCAATAGGTTAGGAACTGTAATACCACATACAAAGATTTTTTATCAAAATAAGTTTTGAGGAAGTGCAACAAAATGGTGCTTGAATGAAGTTAGAATAGTTCATTCAACGCGTACATACCCCTCCAAAAGTTTGGTAACTAAAAGTGGACCAATTTGGATTATGAGGTAAATCCCCGCGTTTGCTTTTTATCGCAAAAACTTGACTACTCAAAAAACTGGGAATCTATTCAATGACATCATTTCTAATTCCCGAATTTTTCTTCGTTAGCAATAGTCAGAAATAACTAAACAGGTTGATGCACTTTTGATAATCGTCGGACTGACTTTGACGACCTGTAATTTTTTGCCTTTGAAAAAATATTTGTCAGATGAAGTTAGTATTGTTAAATAAAAAATAAAACTTTACAGTGTACATTGTGGCGAAACAGAGGCAAGTATAATACAACGGTCAATGCTCTACACTCATTTATTTTTACTTTCAATTCAGTTTACAAATTCTACAAACGGCAATTTTTTATTTGCAAAACTCAAAATGCATACATGCTAATATATATGAGAATGTACGTCATCGATTATCCAGGGGTACAGATGCAAAATTCGAAGGAATTCGGCAAATGCAAGATTATACAAGAACCAACAATTAATCTAATTTAGAAGAATTTATTAATTCAGCATAATATTTTCCCAACGCGGGTAAATACTTTGAATTAATTCTAAAGGAAAAATATTTGTGTTGCTAACCTTTGTCGTACTAATTTGAGTATAATAAAGATTACCAAATGTGGGTACATATATACTTAAAATGACAATGAACGTCGGGTTTAAAAAGCTGAATTAGGGGATAATAGATATAACATTATTCACAAAATATGAAGATTTACTTAAGTACATATACAGACGTAAATATTATTCGTAATAAGCACGCTTCATGTCACAAAAATGTGACTAGTTACTTTATTTCGTAAAATAATGCTAATCCATTTATTGGTTTAACATTTTTTGGTTTTATGACTTCAGAAAGCTGGTAAAATCTCATCAACATTAAAGACGTTTGTAATGTTTGTGGTACAACATGTATTGATAGTTTGAACTAATGTATGCTTCAAAAAGGTTTGGAAATCGAGCCTCGGAGCAAATCGACGAGCTAATTTACCCAATTTTGAACACTACACAATGATGATATGCTTTTCAAATGACATGGTTTTGCTGTTATAGTATATTTTACGAAAGAATAGGGAATGTTTGACTCTATGGCGCTTGCACCCCACGGTTAGGGACAAGGGTATTGTTTATGTTGGAGAGAGCTTTAGCAAACAAGATCAAAATTCCGCGGGCTTTAGGGGGCTTTAGAAGTATATCGTATTCTAAGGTTCAAAGCTAAATATGGCATCATTATTGAACAAATCTTTTTTAGCTCACTAAAATTGAAATAACATCTCGGATTAGAAAACTGAAATTGCAGATTATGTGAAGGCAAAATGTCTGGTGTTTTTACTAAATATTATTCATATGTTTGTGTACACTCACACAACTCCAAAGATCGAGATGCCCAAAATAAACAAAACTACATAAAAACCAAATTCAACAAGCAGTTGAAAAATCATATCAAAAAAGAAGATGCAATATTTACCATAATATTTTGTAAAATTGAATAAAGGGTAATTATAATGGTAATTATAGATATGAATAAAAGTAACAAGACACAACAAATACCCGCGGAATATAGCCTCCATCTCATCTTCTTCATATTTCTTGAAACTAATTCCTTGACAACCATCATGAGAAACCATGGGCTTCTATTAGCTTCTTTCTCGAAGGATGTGTCCAGGCAGAAAGATACAATATAAAGCTCCTCAAGATGTCACTAGTAGTCTATAGTGTTAATAATAGTATCAAACTGAAAGTCTAGATGTTTTACACACAACAGTTAGATGGCAGCACTGTCTTGCATGATGCGGGTTTGAAATCGTAGAGTTTTCTATCGAGAGATGGCGATCATTTCTACTGACAGTTTCTGGAATTGTTTTGTTGTTTTATCTTATAGATGGAATGATCGAACCTGTTTTATATCTCTCAATGTAAAGGGTGATTGCGTTCCTATGAGACATCGCCTCTTTAACTTCTAAGTGTATTTGGATATCTAGATAGCAGGTAAACGTACTCTCACTCCGTAGTCCGTACCCTGGGCCCAGAAGACCCTGGGGATATAAGTAATTGCTATTAATATTACCATATAGATAGACGCAACATTAGACTTAAAAAGCGAAGAGGAAAAGAGTAATAAAATACATAAAAATCTCTACTCTATATTCATATCGTGTTTGGAAGATCGGATGAGATATCCATTCTACGATTGACTCTAGCGTGTATATCGTGTGATTTGCGTTTGAAAGATGGCGCTAACAGTGTTGAGTAAAACATCAAGCAATGTACAGGGTGGTCCAAAAATGGGACACTCATATTTCAAAAATAAATATTGATTTTCTCGATGAAAACATGTCACGCTATATACCAGTGGATAGGGATTAAGGAATATACCCTTCTTTAATTTGGTATATCTTAAGTTTTTATAATGTCTGTCAACCAGCGTCCATAATACAAATGACATATTTCAAAAATAAATTCTGATCCTATTTATGAAAACATGTCATACTATATGCCATTGAAAAGGGAATTTAATTATCTTTAATTTGGTATATCATAAGTTCTTTTTTTGTTTCAAAACGGTTTTTCTAGCACTCGATCTTGGCCTAAACTGGTCAATAACATCATTGATATGCTGCTGCGAAAATGAATAAAAACATTATTAACGGACTGATTTGATGTAAGGGGTTCATGGTACACCAATTCTGTTAGTTGTACCGATACCTAGTAGTCCCAGACGTTGGCATCGGATGATCCAATTCTGTTTGAACCATCATTTTCGGAACATTATATTTTCCAACAGATTGGGGTTCAAAGTCTAAGATCCAACAACACAGAAAAATATTTAAAGGAGAATGTGCCTGTCACACTCCCCTCCACCCAGATCACCCAAATGCCAATGTCTGCGACTACCACATATGGAGAGAACTGATAATATAACAGAATAGGTGTGTACCATGAACCCCTTACATCCATTTAGTAAGGACAGAATTGCTCAAGAAGTGGAATTAATTGTCTCAACAGCATATCAATGATGCTATTGACCAGTTTAGTCAACATCGGGGGCTATAATTGATAAAATGGGGGACATATTGAGCATATGTTTATGCAAAAATAAAGTTGACAAAAAAGGTTTTTGCGAGTTCGAAAAAAACGTTTGAAACAAAAATGCCGTCAGTAATAATATGGACGCTGGTTGGCAGGCGTTATAGTTAATTTGAACTTATGATATACCAAATTAAAGATAATCAAATTCCCTTTCCAATAGTATATAATATGACATGTTTTCATAAATAAAATCAATATTTGTTTTTGACATACGAATGTCCCATTTTTTGGACCACCCTGTATGTATTCGAATCGTTGTTACAGGCTTTATAGATAGATCATTCATTGAGGGATCCACGTCGTCTGTATTATCTCTTGTAGTCAAGCTTTATATAATAGAGGCAATCAGAATGTAGATCATTACTTAAAGACTCTAAACAATGGTAGTGGCAGTTTTACATTGATGTATTTTTGCAGGTACATGCTCGCGTTTCTAGTGTTGCCCCCAATATTTTTCAGCACAATGGTGGGAATTGGGATCCAGGTTATTCTTGAAGTAGGAAAGTCTAAACTTTATATTATGTTTCCACTTGAACTCCACATACATCAACGTACCAACAAAGATAAAACAATAAATACTTCAATTCAATTGTTTAGAATCTAACATACCACATAGCTAGATACTTAGAAATATTGGAAACCCAAAGCTAGTTTAATCCAATATAATTTCAAGTTTATTATCTTGAACTTTTTCAGTTTTGGAGGTAAACAAACTGCTCTAACTCCAATATTTACAATTAATTAACAAAATGTGTTTGACATTCCCAAAGCATAATATGTGAAATGCATCCACGACATATCGAGTCCCTCTTTATCCAATGCTCACTGTAAAGGTTATAGAGGCACTGCCGGATCTGGGATGGGCATTACTGGGCCTTCTAAGGCCTTATTTTTAATTTTAGGACAAATTATCAAGAAAATGGGCCTTTAATTTACCCCCCCCCCTCCCCATTGTTGGTTTCCAGATCCGTCAAGGTGTGGTATGTAAAATCAATGTAAATACTTGTTAACCACATAGAAACGTGAATTAAAAGACAATAAAATGAAGAAATAAACTCGGTACTACTCATGGATGAACTTGGATGGACTAATGGATGATATCGATATCCAGATCTATAAATAAAGTGTGAAAATAATGTATCGAACCAGAAGACGTGCCAGATGTCCTAATGTTACCATTTATAAACCTGTAGTAATAAGTCTAACATGCATGTTTTCCCTGTCTTAATTACTCCATCTTTGTCCGTGAATCTTATCAACGAAGTCATCACTCACAAGCTACTGAAACATGACACAACATGGTTCATAACTTCAAGATAACATCACCGGTTCCAAGAGAAGGGACGAGATCCATTGTGGGATCAACAGGCTCTAGTATCCCTTGAAATACTCACCCTCTCAACAAGAGTGGCTCTGATAAATCAGAATGGGTGAGATCTCAGGCCAAGGTATTTCATATTCATATATGATAGACAGAGGGAAGAATATAACAGTATGAGGGGGCGAATCGAGACAAAAACCAGACGGCCGAGGTTAGGATAACCAATCCATCGCACTTTCTCTATCCCCTTCAATACGGTTTAATTTCGCTTCTTGGGAGTTTCGCTTACAATTACTATTGTACTAGTACCAGTCCCTTTGGCATCAGGACATACAGTCTCAGCATCTCCCTGTCGATATTTTTCAATATCAATTTCATGATTAATATGAAGATTTAAGGTAGGCCGAGAGGAAAGAGTTACCTGTTTTATTGACTTGGAGCTTATTAACATGTTTATAATTATAACCTTTTGAATATCGGAGCACTTTTTATTTTTGTTTTATTTCGTTTGAAGTTACTTTGGTAATATTACTGAATAGAGAAAAATTATAAATATTTCAATACAACTTTATGTTCATTGAATATACTTTGTCAAACTTGGAGCCATTTTAGAGAGAAATTTTGTGACTGATATAACTGAATCTGGTTATTCAAGGGTTAACGTTATGTTGACTTTGTTTTCGTTTCCAAAGTGAGCACATATGGATGGAATATGGGTTATCATAGTCTTTCAATAGCCTATCCAATCCCCCCCCCCACATTATCTTTTCAACAAATAAGGTATATGTTTAAAAAAAATTCATTTTGGGACATCCGGGAGACTACACTTTCCGATTTCTTGATTTCGCTAAATGGACGTAAACGGATTCAGTCGATTTGAATAGATATAGTATTTAAATCGTGCATTTTATATGTTTTAAATTAGTTTTTCGAATTAAAATCGGTAAACTATACACATACAATGGATTATTAAGTTTCACTACAAATTGAAACTTTGCCCGAGGCCTTTAAAAGTACGACCTTCATTATTTTCACTAGCTTTCTAGTACCAGTCCGGGTAAAGTAGCAGGATTATTGAAAACTATCTATAATGCAAGATCGGAAATTCAAGATTATCTAGGTGTCATTTCCTCTTGAGATATTAAGGCAGTCAACCGTTGTTCTTACCCTTCGCGCAGAATGGCAGAGTAGAACGTAGAAGCTCTTTTAAGGAGCAAAGTCGAACGAATGCAAAGGGTACGTTGTTCCGCGATCCATTGGTCGCTCCATTCTAATACTAGCTAATACCCGGACCACATTTGCCTTGCTAGACAGATACTGGAAGACATGTTATCTCTCACGATGAGGATTATCATGGCACCCGAACATCATATCGTGCATGTGGAGGGCACACCGCTTGAAGCCATGTCAGACAGTGCTTCACCGCAGACTATATATTAGCTTTCCATATGTCGTTCCACTGAGTTTTCTATGAACTAAAGATTGAGTCATCATAAAAAGCATTGATCTCCGGGATTAATCCGGCTGGTGTCTGAAATTACACTCATTGTGATATTCATCACATCTTTCTGTTTTTCAACAAGGAAAAGGACGTTTAATCGGATGCCATGATTTCTCATGATGACTCACTCCACATTTATAACACTCATATCATGATATTCCCCAAGCAGGATTATGCTTCGTAGTAAGTAGAATCATCTATGTACATAATATATGTACACATCGTATATATCGTACATAGGGAAAGTTACTTTGATATGAATGATGGACCTAGTTTATCGCTTTATTTCATTCAACTGGAATCAAATCAAAATCACAGCGGCCTTATCTGCGGGGGTAAGGATAATGCATTGATGAGATCTTACTTGTCTAATTAACATCCAGCTAGTAACTCAAAGGTGTTTCAGAGACCAATATACACTGATAGTGTGCTAATCTGTAATTTCTAAATAAATATGATTGCATTTTTCGATTTGATGTGTTTATTTAATGGAGAAAACACGTGACCATTTTGAAATGCCTTCTGGTCTCAGTACCAATACTACACAGTTGGCCTAGCATTGGATTCGGAGTGGATGTAATAAAAGCATTGTCTGTCAACGGCAATCCAATCAAAATCACATCTGGTCTTAAGCAGACAGACGTAGTGAAATCAGCGTCAGTGAATCTCCATTAGTACTCTCAACGTGAATAATTAGGAGCACTAGCCGGTGTTTATGGTACTGCTATTGTGCCGATGGGCGGTGACATATGAGGACATAAAATACACTGTCCTTAAAAATAACCACACATTGCACCAAAATATTGATAGCAGATATTAGGAGTCAAACGCTTTTACGTTAACAACTACGACGGAGGGTATTAGACTTGTGTTTTCATCGATCTAATTTAACCAGTACTCAACATCCGGAGGTTCAATGTACACAAAATAAGAAATTGAAACCACAAAGAAAACTTTTAAGAAAATGAGGCTCAAGGAAAGGACATATCGCTGGATGGTTGATGTTGCTTTGACAGCTGTAGGTATGTGTACATAACTTCAAATATACTTTGTGAATAAAGGCTATGTAATCAAACATTATTCAGCTAATATATAGAGAAATATCCAGGTGATGGTCCTGAATGATACACCCGCAGCAATACCTTAAGCTATTGAGAAAATCGATCCGTAAATATATGAAATATTTAGGGATAAAATATAATCATGGGCATTCAATATTGAAAGCCCATGATATAATGTATGGTTTTGTACATAAATGTGATTTCTAAGTTCCAACTAATCTAACATTTTATTTTGATAAATGAAGTGATATTGAGGTTTTACATGTCATATAAAATGTGTATAATAAAACTTTAGTATATGATATTAATATTTAGCATAACATAATCGTGTCCTTTTTGGACAATAACCAACAAAAATCGAATAGCAGGTATTACGTGTATAAAGTATATAATCTGATAATATATAAAATACTCGTGTGTATACACAGCTGACATATCGACCAAAAACGTACCGGTTAGTGGGTATCGGGTCAGTATAAATGAACTATTGCAAGCAAACAACAAGCATCAGACAACTAGTAAAAAGTTTCTGTTGAAACAGAAAGATATGTGATGAGTATAAGAATAGTTTTAAACTGATAATTACTGGCTCCATAAGAGAATCGCTGGTATACCTATTGTACATGTATTATATGGAAATGAAAAACTAGTCTAGCTACAAGCCCTTGTGACCCCCTCTCCACTAACAAGTGTTGAGAATGTGTTTAGTCTAGTAGAGGGGGGGGGGTCACAGGCTTGTAGCTAGAGTAATGAAAAATTAACTCACGGAATAATATAATGCGATGGGTGGTCAAAAAGTTCTCATAATGTCCCTCTAATCTTTAATTTTTCAATATTCAATAATCGTATTCAATGGAATTTTCACAGTAACAAGGGAACTGTTCAATCTAGCAAATTTGTATAACGGAAATGTTATTAGAAATGGTTGCAATAGTAACGATTGCCATTGTAATCAGGGGACTTTAGGATCACCCCTCGTATGTCTCAACATCAAGGAAATGAAAATCGAATGTATTACTCCCACGGCTAGGTCACGTCATCTTACGTATTTCCAAGAAGATGGTTCGATTAACCTAGTCAGCTAAACACGGATGCTCATCACACGCTTGTTCAGGCTCGGAATCTTAATGTAGACGGTCAGAGATTGTGATGAATCGTGCCTCAACTCTTATTCATGTTTGCATCCTGGCGTGACACTTATAGCATTGCAAATGTCCTGATGGACAGAGCTTTAGCACGGGTGTTAAAACACGAATATACCATGAGCACATGCTTTGAGAATCCGCGTTGTTTGAACCTTCCGCCGAGCACACTTATACATTAAGACCCGTTACACAGTCATGATACCGCCGAGCAAGCTCATTGCATCATCGGGTCTGCTTTACCCCCGTGTTTAGAAGGCGCGGCTTACATCGATGACATTTTTGCTGTTTAACTTGTTTATACTATTATAGAATTGATTCACAAGGTTTCAGTTGCTCCAACTTACAACTTGTGTTATCATCATCTTGGAAATCGAAGATCTGATTCGGTATCATTTTTGGAATTGTCCATTGTTGTCTTTCTTTTCTAAATTCGGATTTACGTTTCCATATTGTTTATTATTTCTACCGGGTATATGTTTAGAATTATATAGAAATAATCTCAAGTACAAATCAGAATCTTGATACAGTATAAACTATTTACAATAGACGTATAATGATGCATACTAGTAAGTCGATCAATTAACAAGATATTACAGCATCGGCTACCCAGAGGCATAATCTAACTATGTACATGCATGGAGCCTTCTTTCAAACTCTTCTGTTTTCTCAGGGCTGAGAAGACATGTCTGAGATGTCATGGTTTATCACGATGCTTGGACAGGGGTATGCATTCACCCTCTCCTTCCCCTTTCAATCAATATACATGTACATATTTCATTCTGATACCCATCACATATTTCTGTATTGCAACTGGCAAATTAGAGTAGAACATAGTCTTGCTTCAAGACTTCAAGACTCTAGACCACTGGCTCTTTATCTAAAGAACACCAGCCATCAAAGTAGATAGTCCAAGGTCTTGAAGCAAGACTAAGTAGAACATGGAAGGCAATGATCTCACACGATACGACGTCGATATTCCCAAAGAAATCTATAACCTGATTACATGCCAACCATTTCTAATATGGACTCATGAGGTGAATGCCAGGACCTATGTGATGTTACATACAGTACACATTTGTAACATATCCAAATTACAATTCTGATTCACAAATCAATGCAGTCCCACTAGCTACAGCGTAAGAGACATCGGCCTTCTATTAGTTCCTTTCTAGAAACATAATTACCTACCCTTTACATTAGTTCTTCGTTAGTTTGTAACTAGACTCTACGCTCACTGTGTAGGAACTCTTCAAACTAGTTACAGAAACGGATACGTTAACGTAACAAAATGTCGCAGCCTTGAAGGTTCGATTTTTCTTTTTTCAAGATTTCACGACTTTTTTTGGTACAAACATGCGTAAGCATCATATGTTTATGAAAACCTAATAATTTGTGAACGAATAGTTCACGAGGCGCCAGAATGATCAAAATTATTCCTCACTATTATGACGAAAACGGAGCGGTTAAAAGTGCGGATGTTTGACCGTTTTCAACGTTCCGTTTTCGTAACTTAAGTGGAGAAGTTTATCGATGATTATGTCGTCTCGTGAATTATTCGATCGAAGACGTTTAGATTTTCTGAAACATATGTTGCTGCCACACATTTTTGCCCAAAACGTTGTGGACATTCTACCTACATCTCGCGTAATCAGTGAAAAAGTAGTATCGTACATTTTGTTACGTAAACGGATCCGATCCGTTTACTAACATTTTGAAAAGTTCCTCCACAGTGACGCTCAGCCAGATGAAATTAACATAACGCACCTGTTTAATTAATATACCGCGCCTGTTTAATACGATATCTATTTACTGTATACATAAACATATCTTGAGAGACTTGCAAATTTATGTTAATTTCGCTCTAAGTTGGGGGTTCCGATTGGGGTAAGAGTTGCCGAATATAGCCGAGCGAAAGCCTAGATTCGCCTGCTTTTTCTCAAAAAATCTCGTTCGCGTTGCCTTCTTGCCCATTTAAAAAGAATGGCAATTTAAGTAGGCATGTCGTTTAAGTACCCCGCCGTCATATTAGGGGGTTTAAGCTTACAATGTTTTTCAAGATCTAAACGTAAAGTAAATCAAGTAAAAAAAATCAAGTAAATCTAAGATTTGAGACACGACATGTATGGAATGATACTAATTCAAATTCCCACGCTCATCTATAACCAGGCCCACACTAACCACTAATATTATAAAACTAATACAAGCTTACCATGTTACAGTCATTAGTAGATAAGACGCTAAAAAGGTGCAGAGTTACTAATGCTTCCTTATTTCCATATGATGCATAATCTCATTGTCATAGTTACAGAAAAAGTGTCACCTCATCGAAGTGACAATCATAGAGTGAGAGTTATAACCAGTAAGAAAAAATATTTAAGTGAGCCTACGACAATCGATTTCAACCCAAATAATCAGATCAAATGGGGCATAGTCTTGGTCCAAGTCTCTGGAGCCCCCCATTCACCCTATCTACTTCGCCATAGATGTGTAGTGGGCGTTACAAGGGCCCTTGTAACTAGACAACACATATATATGGTAGATCTTTCTCCCCCCCCCCTTTGCTGTTACCAGCACTAAAACTCGTATCCAGACGCCAAGAGGTTAATCGTGTTAATACTTGGGTATAGAACCCGGGTATACAGGGTGTCCCGAAAGTATGCCCCCCCCCCCCCCCCCTAGGCAGACATATACCAGTGTCGTCATAGTATGTGTCATATATCATTTTAAAGCTTATGCAAAGTTACATTGATTCGCCAAGTATCATGGTTCAACTCTCAAAAGTGAAAAAATTACAGGCATTTCAAAATTTAGTGTTTGGTCAAAATTAAGTTCAATTTTACACCAAAACACTAGTCAATGTGTCCTCCCGGGCCATCTTAACAGCAGCAATTCTTTTCGGGTCGGATGGATATTGAGTTGGAAAAAGAGAACGGTGAAGGTAGAAACTTTAAGGAAACTCTTCTAAAGTCCCTTAAGTAACAGGTTTTAAGAGGGTTATAAAATTCCATATCCCTATTTGAAGGGCTTCTGAGGTCATATCTGAAAATAATTGCTGCTGTTAACATGGCCAAGGGGGACACATTGACTAGTAATGTGGTGTAAAATTGAACATTATTTTGACAAAACACTAACTTTTAAAATTACTGTAACTTTTTCGCATTTGGGAGTTCAACCATGATACTTGGCAAATCAATGTAACTTTGGATAAGCTTTAAAATGATATATGACACATACTATGAGGACACTGGAATATGTCTGCCTAGGGGGGGGGCCATACTTTCGGGACACCCTGTAGAACTCACTATGTACCCTTCGTCAAAATGTGCAGTATAATCTTGAAGTGCTGATGGCATAATGATGACGGATAATAAGATTGTTTCACTTGTATGTGAAGTAGAACATAGAGGGTTTACATTTGCTATTTACAATATCGATACATCGTTTGGAAAGTCGGTTAACTTTGCAACCATACAAATTACCTTATGCGTCAAATATTGCCAATTACTCAGTACCGTCTCCATTACAACCATTTACACAATCAGTTCACGGTATATACTTGAGTAAAGATATGTGCGTTATGGACTGGTATACTCCCCAAATATTTAAAATAGTACAATAGAACAACATAACTAGCACCATAAGTGATTGTAAAATAGAATAGTATACATGTAATATGGATATAACATTAACAATATTATGTTATCCAAGTAGTGAGAGCCCATTGTTAATTGTGGGATCCACAACCTTTACTATCCTTTTGAATAGACAGGGCAGATTCTCTCTCAAGCTTTAGGTAAAGGGATCTGACTCGAGGGCTCTGATAAATCAGAATGGCGATCTAAACGTCACTGAGACCGGCTAAAACGTCCACATTTGAAAATGCACTCATGGAATGGTATCCTTTGCATTCGTTCGACTTCGCTTCTTAAAATAGAGCTTCGTCTTCGTCGGTAGTTTATAACTAGACTCTGCGTGCAGGGTAAGGGTATGGACACAATGGAAGAAAAAAGAATAAAGCATAAACATGTACAATGCCACCACCTGTCATTTGTTACAGACGCCGACCGCCGAACATCATCCGCCGGACGCCGAACACAAAAAAGTTACCAATAGTTATTATGTTACCACTTTTGGTGGTGACATAAACAGAATTAACAATGGGAGGTGTGTGGATTAAATCGGGTACACCCCAGTTGTCCGAAACCCAGTTGTCCGAAACCCAGTTGTCCGAAACCCAGTCGTCCGAAACCCAGTTGTCCGAAACCCAGTTGTCCGAAACCCAATTTCCCGAAACCCAGTTGTCCGAAACCCATTACTCCGAAAAGTAAAGTCATAATTTACAAGAGAAGGGGGGGGGGCGTAGCTTACTTAACCTTACGTCAGTTTCATGCCATGTATTTGGCCAAATTAATGGCATGGACGCATTCTGATATTCATAGATCTCTCTCTCACTTTGAATTGCATCCATTGCATGGCGTTACCAGAATGGCAGGAACGGGAGATTTATTTTACATCGTGATTCTAAAAAAGGTTATTAAAACATAATATATATTACGGAACAGTTTATCTTATCTTCTTCAATCTCTTTTATATCTAGGCAAAATAAAATGAAACATTTTGAAACAGATAAATTAAGTTATCGCATAGAACTTTAAGAATAAAACAGTATACAAATTACGTTGTCAATATATTTCGTCGCATTTAATTAATTTCTTAGTCTCGGTCTCTTATCAAATCGTAAAAGAATAAAACATTCTAAACTTAATCACTTGGGATTTATGTTTCGGCATTCGTTGCAGGCATTTGTTTTTTATGTTCATCTCCTGAAATGTATTTGTTTGACAATAATCAGAGAAAGTGCTTATACGTATAAATATGCCACGCAAACAAACGGGTGTGACTTCAATTTCTTGTCTGTCTGAGGACGTATTGGGAACGAGGTAGAATTAAAGAATTCTTATGAACGAGTCAGGCAAGATACTAGAACTAGTAAAGTAATGTATTGGATAAGTTAATTTCTGATGGATCTGGATAAAATATATTTCAAAACTTTGTAAACACTAGATAACTTCATTTAGGCAGATATAGTATCTTGATATATTTGGCTATCATGCGTTTAAAATACGTTCCTAAAACTATGAAGACGTTAGGTGAGAAATATTGCTATTGTACGTTCGAAAAGTATTTTGTTGTATTTTGTAGTTCTCAAGTTACCCATGAACTTTCGTGGGCTAATTAACGTCTTGACTTAGCATATTTAGCCTAATTTTGCAATGATGTCAACGTGATTCAAATGTTATGCTGTCGTGATTCGCAGAGGTTGTGACAAGATTCGTTTTAAGAAATTGTTTTTTTATAAGATCCCCTAATTTTCGGAGAACTGGGTTTCGGACAACTGGGTTTCGGAGAATTGGGTTTCGGACAACTGGGTTTCGGACAACTGGGTTGACCCCGATTAAATCAGGTATTGAGATTTGTTAGCATATTAGTTGACATAAGGTTCTATACATGCAGTAGTTCAACATTGTTACTTGATCTAACATCACCTGTCAAACAAGGCCATTTTGTAATACGATTACATCCTTCACATCATATAGATGATGATAGGACTTGTTACCCTTTGCATTCGTTTGACTTCACTTCTTAAAAGAGAGCTTCGTCTTATAGTTTAACTAGACTCTGTACGCAGGGTAAGGACTTGTTATACTGTCACATTTATCTCATCAATTAATTGAGCCATGTCGACATGTTTCACGGTAGTTTGTAGCATAATATTGCGTCCAATCGCGCTAATTGGAACTTATCACACAAATTAATTGTCAAATATTAGCCAAACAGGATGTGTGGCATCTTGTTTCCTGATTCGACGAAGTATTGTTCACGGAAGGATCAAACATGAGGCCCGGGAATAATGAATAGTTTAACATCTTCAACATCAATTTACACTGTATATAACATTCAGGGTACTTAATCCTTGACCTGGGTCTACAAGACATCGTTATATGGTTAAAGGACGGTTACATTGAATATAATGGTTTACAGAGCAACGTTTTAAATGGTCTTACAATAGAGAAACATTAAAGAAATGTTGTAAGATATGTAAAGCATAATACACGATTCCTTTCAAATCAATATGGTTGACAACCTTCCATGAATTGATGGAGGTCCATATGATTAAATTAGAGGATAGCGTGATTCAGATCATTGTGAAGAATGCATTTGTAAAGTAGAATGAGACAATGAGGTGCATACCCAATAGTATAATGTACCTTTCATTGCCTGCCTCTTTGATAGTCCATAATTAAATCATGAGAAATCATGGCCCCGGGTCATGGCCTTATATTAGAAATATGAGTATCAATGTCATAATCATGACATCAACGTGCCTGAAATCTATGAGTTTCCATTATTGTTCTGTACTGTCCTTGTGAGTTCAGACTCTCTCGAATATTATACAACGATCGAGGCCCTGATAAATCAGAACAGAGACTGATCAGAATGAGTGCAATTTATTGTTGTAATTATACTAATAGTGCAACATGAACATTATAATACCAGTAAACATGAAAATAATACCTGTAGTAAACATTATTATGATACCAGTATTATGTGAAGGTGTATATTATATCTGATTATTAGACATGCATTGATACTGGTTAGCGACCGCGATCTGTGTGTCTCTGGTGTGTTTTACATTTGCTTGATCAAGTGACCGATATATTTGAAACATTTACTTTTTAGCTCAAATACTTAAAATAGACTAAAATTCGCTAATTTATAAAATTTGTGACCACCTGTAGAATACTGGACACTACTGGTTTACAATAAATGGATATTGTAAAAAATTAAAGACTGAAAAAATATATAGATAAAATTGATTGATACCATCTACACATTTTTCTGTCTTTAACTTATTCTGTAAATCCTCAAATTATCGATATGGAACGGAACTGATCTCTCACGATGACCTTGTTTCATTGATCTCATTCTCTCTGTTGGAGTCAATATCCACAGAAATAACAGTTTGCAAGTCTCATGCGTCTAGAGATAGATCGATGAAAGGTGAATAGAATGGACATGTTATAATCACCAATGGCATCTGTCGCATCTGTTTGTATCCCTAAAACATCTCGTGATTTGTTGTCTCAGTTTGGACAATTAATAATTGATATTGTTTTCATAAGGTCACAATGACCACTTTTGTTTGTATTCTATGTATTCTATTTAGTAGTACTTAAGGAGGTTAGCTGATCAGCTACTCTCAGTTCGAATGCAGTGTTTCATAAGTTTTTTTGACTCAGTCAGTGATTAACATGCTTTATGTTAATTTCGAACAGATTTGTAAAACCAAGTACTCGTGATTTTTTCATTTTCTCTACTCAAATCTGAATTGGTAACGATAGATAGATAATGCTCTAGGAATTTTATGCAGAAAATAACCATGGATACGTGACTTATATAATTGGGGGAGGGGATAAACTGGGCTACCCGTGAAATGTGAAACAAATTTAGTAATTTTAAATCTGTTATATAAATGGCCAGTGACGAAGCATGGTTTTGGGGCATGTACAAAACAGCCATTTTTCTAAGATATATTGGAAAATGCATCATTTAAGTTCGAGTTCCAACATTTAAAATGATCCTCTGTCGTTATCAGACGGACAGACCGAGAAGTGGCTGATTTTTAAAATCCCAGTTATAGGATCAAAATCTAAGTGAATCAAGTCAATGTACTGTACTATTTTTTATATTCCAGTATGGATTATTCTTCTGTCATGTTACTTTGTGGCTGTGCCCCCAGAGAAGGGATTCATCTGCTCAGATCCCCACATCAACTATCCTTATCGCCCAAGTACAGTGGGAACAGCAGTATTAGTATCTTCCACCATGATCATATCAATGCTGTTGGTAAGTTTTGACAGCGGTCTTAATTTGTTCCCAATTTTATTCAAACCTTCTTTCGACCATGAAAATATATTAAAGGGGGGGGGAGATCATTATGAATTTTAAATTAAAGCCAAGCTAATGCCTGAATATTAGTCTGGTAAATTAAAAGAAATATAAAACTCAAAATGTTTTTACCCTGGCCTTTTGCAAATGGACACCATTAATCAATTATCGAGTTGTGTCTCAGACCATACTGATGAGGCATCTATGATACAATCCCTTATTAGGACTAAGCCATACCAAGAAATCACATAATCCTTTTCTCAAGCAGACACTCCAATTTGTTCATCCGAAATAATCAATAAACATCTACTACTCTCAAAGACTAGAAAAACGTAACAGTTAAATGTCATTTTAACCTATTGCAATATTATTTTCTAGATTACTATCACAGAGATTTTCTTATGGGCTCCAATGAAAAGGGACAAGAAGCTACTTGGTATAAGATTAGGGCGCAATCTTCTGACCTTTATGTGGGGCTATGCAGTTGTATTTGATGTCGTTTTTGTAGCAAAATACTCAATGGGTGCATTGCGTCCAAACTTCATAGATGTTTGCCAACCGAAGTACATCACAACCAGTGGAAACTGCTCGAACATGTAAGTGAATAATACGACCTTCCCACTTTCCATGAAATACTACAGAGTGCCTCAAAAAATGTTACAGGTACAAAATGGTCAATATCTTTTGGCATTTACCCTAAAACATAATTGCAAGCTCTCTCGATCAATTTGACACAGAGCAGATTTAAAATCCTTCCATGGTTGACTGTACAGGACAGATTTTATGAACTCATGTGAACTCTGACTTGCGCTGAAATTTTTTGAGACACCTTGTACAATCCCCCATTGATCTCTTGCATGAGACATTCTGTTTGCAATAACCAACTTACTAAGAGGAATATCAATGATTCATGTTAGTTTTATCATTTCTGTCAGTGTAGTAACCTCTAAAGACAAGCATAAAATGTGACTCAATCAATATATGACTCAGATTGAGTTACTTTAAATCATTGGCCATCATTACTAGTCCTCTTTAATGAAGAGGAACTGATCTAGCCATTATGTGATTTTGAAGCTATTAGTGGCAGGTAAAACATTCAAAAGAATTTCAAGGCATGAATTGTTTCAATATTCATCAATATGATTACTTCTCTCAATCTTTGTTTTCTTCTTAAATTGAGGCTAGAACCACATAGTAATTACTGAAGTTCGCTAGAGGCAAGTAAACTTAGTGGCAGTGTGGGATCCACAATCAATCTCTACTATCCCTTGGAATAGAGAGACGCTCACAACCTTTAGATAAAGAGAGACTGATCAATCAGAATGAAGAAGTGGTAATAGTTTGCGAAGGTCTTTTCTAGAGACACAAACGAATCAATATTCTGATACTCATACATAGCCGTGGGGACCGGGGTTCGATCGGTTCGGACAAACCCCCGGTCTTGATTTTGTGGAAAATTTGTGGAAAAATTCATTGCAATAACCAGAAAAAATATATTCAATTTATATGACCAGTAGATAAAAAATGATAAAGTTACACTTCTCTCAAAAAGTTTGTCAACCTTAGACACGGGGTGGGATTGTTTAATCTTGGGAAGACCCCGGAGCATCATGACATTATGCAAAAAGAAATATCAATTATTTGCACAATTTATTTTCTAACTTAATTAAAAGCTGCTCCATATCCGGTGAAGTAAACCAACTGTCTAAATACTGATGTAAACACATTTTCTTTCAAATGTTTGCGTCTCCGTTTTGTTTTATTCCAAACAAAAAATTCTTGCTAAGTCCCCGGGGCTGATAAGTCCCCAAGAGCAAATATTACATAATAGAAACATTTTCACCGTCCGTTTATGATATAATCCGCGGTAATGAACTTGTTGACATCACCACGAAATATAACTGATCATTTTAGTAAAAATGGTGACCTTACCCTGCAGAAATGTAGGTAATGTTCCACAGCTATTTCTGAGGGTGATACAACAGGGCCCAGTCTCCAGGGTATTGCTTTTACTTTCCAGGGGTAACAAATCTATACCTGGGCATAGTGTGGTTCTAAAGCCTTAGCGAAGTAACTTCCTTTGCCACCTATATTCGCCAAACCGTAAAAATTAGTTATTAAGTACAGATTATTTTTTATTTTCAATTCAAAGAAAGAACAAATAGATGTTTTCAGCACTAGGTGTTTTTTTGTTGCAAGGCATTGGAATTTAAAAGAAATTAGGTCGAGCACTCTTCTATTACAAAATGAAATAAAAATCTTTTGATTTGGAATCTTTTCAAAAAATTCATCTAATCTCAGTATTAAAGTGTGGGAATTGCATGTTCCAGAATTTGACATATCTTTGAATGAACCCTAAAGAATGAATAAGGAATGAGGATTTCAAAATAAAATAGCTCGTTAAAAATATGCTAGGATTTGCCCTTAACAAAAGTTAGCTCAATGTATGCTAACCTTGATTTGGATTTCATTAAACAAATGTTATATTAAAATGTATGATTTTGCCCCCAGATTTCAATATCTTTTCAGTAAAAGATTCACCAAAAACGCTCAATGGGGGTGTTACGGTTGCCAAAGGGAGGGGTGCAAATTGTATGTATGGCAAATACAAAAATGCTTATATGAGGTACACCGATGAAGGGGGAGATTTGTGGATAACATAAAAATAGAACCCCTGGTCACCAAATCCTTGCTACGTCATTGCTCATATAATAATAGGAGGTCTTTGTTGTGTCCAGACATGCCGGAAGGACAGAGATGGAGAGGCTGCAGCTTACCACAATGGAACTTTGAAAATAGTTCTAAAGAGAGTTTGGTAGATGAGAATAACCGATGCTCTCTTTTATACTAGCTACGAAAACAAACTATTGCAAAATGCATATTTGTATCGTTTGTCATTTGATCATGAAATTATCTTTTTCAGTGTTGGTCAAATGAGGTATGTTGAGCCTGATATAGATTTTATCTGCACCAACCCGGACAAGAGAGCTATATCAGACGCAAGACAATCCTTTCCATCTGGCCACGCTGCAGCAGGGGCTTTCTGCGCAGCTTTCCTGTCTGTAAGTATGAAATCACGAGGGGAAACAATACCTTGTATCACAAAAATATTTCATTCTTTTTCCGGTTAACACCTTTAAAAACGTTCGAACCTTCTGCAGGTTTGTTCCCCTGGCCTGATGGGGTTGGGGGGGGACGCTTTGCTAAAATCAGTGAGAAATTAACAGGTACTTATCTCTGTAGTTCATCTCAGTAAAATGAAAAATAGTGTAGGCTTATGTGGCAAAATCATTCACTGAGAGAATATTGTAAGATTGTATTGTAATTGTATTGTATTGCTAGAATATAAGTATTTTATATACAGCAAAAAATATCACCGCAGCTTAGGATTTCCTTCTGTGTTTTCATTAACCATATCATATTTAAAAAGCAAATTGTTGTTTTTTAATTTTGAAAGTAGTGCTTTTGATTTTTGGCGTCGTTACTCATTTAGTCTTGTTATACAACAATCAATATGTGGCAAGGGGATCATGGTGTGAGCTGATAATAAGATTGTAATTCGGTTCATGTCACAAAAACCGAACGAGGACTTCCGTTTTGGATCAGAATTATTGTCTACAATATAGATTAAAGAAAACAAGTGCAATGAATATATCACGATGACATTGCTTCCCAAGCAGTCCCAGAAACATGGATGCCAGATGTAAAATAAACTAGCTCATAGTCTTTATTCCTTTTTTTAATTTTGATATTATTCTTGAAATACAGTACCAATGTCAAAATAAAGGAACAAGTCTGTAAGCTAAGGTAAAGTGAAATTCAGTTACCTACTAGTCTCACTGTCATTCTAGTCGTCCTGGTGGACAACTTTAAAGCCATCAAATGCTTTTTTATATACTTGATATACCTGTATAGTAGCATTGACGCATGCTCAATATATGGTACTTGTTATTCGTTTCCTGGAAAGAATTTGATGAGATTGAGCAACTGAATGTTCAGAACGCAATTTATGCTTCAATAAATAGAAAGTTGAATCTCACTGGGGACCAACTGGAAACGAAGACATGAATTCCTGCTACCCTAACTTTTTCATTTTGAAACTATATGTCATGGCATTTGCAGGATAAATTGTTATAATGCAGTTCTACAATATCTGAATGTGTGGCAATTATCTCACAACTGCTAAATCCATTGAATTGAAATTAGAACATTTGTATCTTTACTTCCCAGACACCCTGTATCTATTTTATAACTGTTATTGCAGATATATGCCCAATTCAAATGGCGAGTGGATTGGACAATGATTCTGGTGCCATTCCTACAGATGACACTAGCGTGTCTTGCTCTATACAATGCAGTTTTGAGGGTAACAGACAACAAACATTACCAAATAGATATATGGGCTGGTGCACTCATAGGATCTCTGGTAGCAATTCTTACCGTAAGTATCCTAACCATTGATCAAACGTTTCCTGTAAGGCATTCGTTATAGGTTCTGTACTTTGGTTGTCTCATATCAGTCTTTATTCCAAATAAGGCTTTACAAAGAGAGAGTTCTCTGCCTGATAGAAGACAACATACACATCCATTTGGGACTGGGAGAGATATGGCTATCAACCCAACAATAGTACTAGCAACAGCAATATCATCCTGTATAGCACTGACATATTATTATGCAAGCTTTTGATATAATCATATGAGATGAGGGTACCCCTGTAATAATTTCAATAATTCCATATTGAATATCATCTCTCAAAACAACCTATTCCGTTGCTCGAAGTATTGTTAATATTATGAGTCTAAGACAGGACAATTGACTGCTGCCGCTTTTGTTTGACAACGATAGCATTTGTTGCAATACAATCTTTTGAGTCTCTTTTGTAATTTATGTTTTCACTAATCAATGTTGCCGTTCCTTATTTAACAAAATATCAAATGACAACAGTAATTATAATACAAATGTTGCATCAAATGAAAGGATTAATTTCATTATTGATTCTATGACTAATTTTCCTCATTTTGTGACTGCTACATTGTACATTGTACGTGTCATATTCATGAGCTAATATTCACCCTAGTAGAAATGTAACTATGTATCTATGCTTGCCTCAAACTGTAATATCAGTATACATACTCACGTAACGTCTTTGTAACAAAAGGATGAACTTCCGTTATAGAAAATTTGTGAGATTTTTATTATTTTCTCCAGGAAAGACTAGTCGATTTGTATTAAGATACCCGTATGTTAATAGAAACAAACATCCGGTTACTGCAAAGTTAGTCAGTCACGAGCAAATATATCCAGCTGCTCCAATAAGCGAGAGAGAACTCCCTCACTTCAGCAAGCAGGATGGTGTCTGGTGGATTTCATAACGTCTTGGTTGCGTTGTGTTAACACCCTGGTTGCTAAAGCGGGTGGTTTCTCATTTGATTACTTGAACCATTGGCTCGTATATATTCGTGACTGATTCGTTCTTCAGTAACCGGATGTTACTCTAAACATACGGGTACCATATTTGGATACTCTGACAAATCAACCTCTTTCTTGGTGAAAATAATGAAAAAAAATCCCCGACGGAAATTCATCCATTTTGACGTCTTTATAACAAGTTTGGGACGAGTTTTAAAAACTGATCGCATGTTACTTTTAGCAAGATTCCGTGTCAGTCTATTCACAAAGAAGTACAATAACATTCAATTACATTGATCCTTATTACATAGCTAAATAGAGAGTTATATCTAATACGAATATATGACTCATGAATGAGGCTATAGCAATGTCTGGAAACATATTCTTGAGTGCCATCATGCAACTTTGACACTGAGAGAATTTCTCAATTCCAAGTTGATGCGAAAGGAATTGATTCACGATTGTGATAACAAAGTAAGTCAACTAAAAGTTTTTGACCACTTTTGGACCATTTGCTTTAAAACCTGTGTCGATAGGATTCCCGTTTTAAGTTATATTTGTTCAACATCAATACAGAAAACTCCCCTATGACTCCTTGTTCAACAGTTCCCCTATTCTCAAAATGGTCGCCATTTTTGTCACGCGAAATTCACCTTTGGCCCATTTCCTAGCTTTACAAATATTTCCCCGTGTCCTGCATTGTAAAAAGCCATGTCACTCTAAAGAGTAGTTATCTGATATAATTTTGTTACAAAAATCGGCAAAAAATGTATCCATTTTTTCAGCCATTTTAGTTAACTTTGACCTCTGTCAATAGGATTCCCGTTTTAAATTATTTTTTGTTCAACACCAATGTAGAAAACTCCTCTATGACTCCTGGTTCAAAAGCTCGCCTATTTTCAAAATGGTCGCTATTTTTGTCTTGCGAAATTCACTTGTGGCCCATTTTCTAGCTTTACAAATAATTTCAGGTGTCCTGCATTTTAAAAAGCCATGCCACTCTCAAGAGTTGTTGTATGAAATAATTTTGTGAAAAAATCGGCAAAAATTACATCCATTTTAGCCATTTTAGCCATCATTCACTTTTAAGCAACACCCACGGTACTTTTTATCGGAACGTTTGATTTGTGAAAACACGATGTTTTATTGTGTAATCACTATCATGGACAAGAGGCAACCTTGGGGGTAAATTAAATATGCAGTGAAGGTGGCCATTATCTTAAAGCAATTTTTTGAAAGCCTTTGGCTCAACTGATCATAATATTTTGCTTGATAAACTTTCAAACTATGAAATCAACTGTAGCATAGCGGTAACATGGTATAATAGATATGATTCGTGACATCCATTATTAGTGACTAGCTACCATGTGAGTGTTACATGTAGCGAAGTACTATTGACTATAAAGCCTAGAATAGTTGATGACTATACACGGCAATTCTTAGTCTTACATTTTTGTATGTAAATCATTTTGAGTGATTAAAAACCAGCGACCATACATTACTAGCGATTATATTTAATTGTTAAAGACTATATGTCATTGTTGGCGACTATATGCCATTGTTAGCGAGGTTGTTAAACCATTTAGCGAGTATATTCCATTTTTAAGGACTATTTACCATTGTTTGCAACTAGGTTATATACTATTGCTGGCGACTATATACAACTCTTAATCATTGACTGTATACCATGTTTAATGACTATCTATAGCTACAATACTACTTTTCAAGATATAGTTGTCATTTGATATTGGTTTCATTAATATAGCATGACTGAGGTTTGTGTTACTTCGTATCTCAAATGGTTAATCCTTTGTGAGTGCTTGTTCTAATAATTATTGGTCGTACAAAAGCATTCATTTATAGAAAACGTTATTTATTGAGATACTTTTATTTCCAGGCATATCGGTTATTCAGCTTCAAGGAAGACGTAGACGTTCCTGAACGTGTATACCAAAATGGCGTTAACCACAATCATATAAATCATGTTAGTGTCCCCCAATCACCAACCAGGCACAACAACATTCCATCCGCTCCGGATTGTCAATATCCACAAGAAGAGCATGGAGATAATGAACACCTAGATCAAGATCATGCCAGGACCGATCTCGTTAGTGCTGAAACAAAGTTTAATAGTCAAGCGTTTCATAATGTTTAGCTTTAAGTCGGTTGCAATAGATGGCGGGATTATCATAAATCCCAAGAGTGCAATTTTAATTTATATCTTCATTCCTTAATGTCACAAAATAATGTACAGGGTAGCCCAAAACTACAGCCATTTTATTAAGGGGGCAACTCTCAAATATTGTGGAATCTTCGTTTTATGTATATTGAGCACTCAATTGCAATTAGCGAATCAGATGTGTATTTGTATAGCAACAGCGAAATTATGTTGCAGAAGCCTCAAGTACATCATGGTTCCATCAGGGAAAATCCCGAATCTCTGATAGTTATTCTGATATTCATCAGAGTATCTTTCTGTTTCACCTGAAACATGTAACCCCAATTAGATGAAATATGAGCTGGGATGAAAGATCTCAAAAATCCTCAATTTTGGCTTCTCTTGCATCACCAAATCTAGCTCATTATATCAGAGACATATATATGTCTCTGATTATATCATGGCATCTTAGGGCTGAGAAGAAATGTGATGTCATGGTTTATCACGATGCTGATAGTATCCACTCTATATTATTAGGCATACTAGATATAGTATTAGTATAGATGGGTAGAATACTTGTCACAGTCCGACTCATTCAAAGATGCACCCCAAGCTAGTGCTGAGTAATAAAAACACCGACTAAAAAGACATAGATCGCGAGTATCTCGTCCATCAGAAAGAGCTGGATCTTGCAAAAAACTATATCCATACTATTAGGATTCCACACTAGGTACTTAAAAGATCTAAACACATGGAACAATTCAAGTCAAATGAACCCAGCTAACACTGATTATACTTGGATTTCAGAAAGATGACACACTGGCTTCTTTAATTTCCAGTGTTAACCATTTGTCAGTTGCCAAAATACTGCAACTTAAGTTATTCTCTTACTATGTATTGTGTCTGTGAGTTTGTGTATGTAATGTATGATATATCAGTAATTAAAAATTAAGATATTCTTGAAATAGCTGGTTGAGAAATCCCAGATCATGATGGAATGTCTTAGTTTAATTGATATGTGAGTAATAATTGTATGATGTGCAGTTACCTGTATTCATGTAATGATATTGATCTTCATAGTGCAACCTAATGCAAGTCTGTACAATATAAACATTAGTCCAAGCTAATGTGAGATACACGTAATATACACATAAGGAAAACAAACAATGACACAAATTACCTGTAAAATTCATCCAAACATTGACTTTAATTAAGGATCTAAACCCTGGACTCAGTGTAATGTGGAATGACCATTCCACAAAGGCGTTGCTTTCCAAAATTTGCACGAGATGCCAAAGAGTTGTCAAAGAAACAACTCGGCCACTCTACAGATTGAAATTGATGCTATGCCAACTTGATCCATGCAAAGTTTCATTCAAACCATGTTCTTTTAGTGCGATTTCGTATCTTTAAGTTGATTTCGTCGAAAATATTTTGCAATGTGTGAAAATAATTTAATATAATTGTGCAACCATGCGCATCACTGTGAAGGAAGAGTAAAATAGATCATAACTAAGGACAGGAAGGAAGGAGGAATACAGCGCTTAACCAGAAACGTCTTTATAACAAAATGAATGAACCTCCTTCTGAGGAAATTATTTTCCATCATTTTTCCCAAGAAGGAGGTAGATTAGTATCCGAATATCTTACCCATGTTAATAGTAACATACGGGTTACTGAAAAACTAGTCAGTAAGAGAAAATATAATTCCAATGCAGCTCCAATAATCGAAAGAGAATTCCCCGACTTCAGCAACCAGGAGGTTATTTGGTGAACTTCATAACGTCTCTGTTGCGTTGTGTAACGTCCTGGTTACTAAAGCTAGGGGTCTCTCTCTCGATTATTGGAGGCCTTGGATGTATAATATACTCGTGACAGATTCGCTTTTTAGTAACCGGATATTACTATCAACATACGGGTAGAATATTTGGATACAAATCAACCTCCTTCTTGGTGAAAATGATGAAAATAAAAATACCCTCAAAAGGAGGTTCATTTTGTTATAAAGAAGTATCGTCTTTATAACCAGGTGGGGGCCAGTGACACTTCATACCTCTCAATACCACAAGAAGGGGGTCCAGAGACAACGTCAGCACAACAATGAATGGATGAGTTAGTCTTTCACTATAATCTGTGCTCTCAATGCCCAAATCACTTATTGTTATACAATGTATTATCTTATGGGGAGAGGGTTGTGGACAAATGGGCTTGGCAAAAGACGATGGTTATACAATGACAGAAAACGATATCAGTCAAAGAACAATGCTCATGCCTTTACATTGTCTAATCACTTTTTAAATTATACTTTGCAGAATAAATATTTAAATGTGTACACTTTACATCCGGTATTGTTTGATACTTAAACAAAATGTTAAATTATATATACTTTGATCAAAAACTCTGTCAGTTAGCCCCTCCCCTGAAATAATAGAATTCGACGAAGTTCTCTTCTTTTTAGAGATGCGAAGTTATACTAGTAATCTATACAAATGGTACAAAATGCACAGTACAAATAAAACATGATATTTCCAAGTAAACTTTGTCCCTCGCGTCATAAAAGGTAAATTGATTGCAAAGTGGCACTTGATCTAAACCTTGGTCCACATTTAGAGAACATGGTTGATTGTACTGCCATCTTTTTGTAAACATTATTTCTTGCAGTAGATGTCCTATACTTTCCAATATGTAAGACATGTAAGATTGATCTTGAGAGGTTCATCATACCCAAAGGCCAAAAATCACTTAAAAAGTGCTCAGAATAGTGAAAAACTGCATGGTTTTGAAGGAATTTATGGCCAGAGGAGGGGGGGGGGGGGGGCGAATTGCTCCCTTCCCTGGCCACGGGCCTGTTTATCTGATAATGAACCGGTCTCTGACCAGCAATAAAATTCTGTTTTGAATCACATCACCACGTATGGCATAAAGTAAACAAATGAGTAATTAATCATCATTAATGAACCATATCAAAATCGTGCAATGAAGTTAGTGTTTCTGCTTTTTAAATGGTGCTTCTATTGAATAGATAAGTCAAATCATACTGTTATTCATCGCATCATACATAGCATAATTTGATAGAGTCAAGTGTTAACTGGTGAACAATTTTTTGAACATGGATATTCTTTCGAGGTGACATCTATTTAACTACTACACTATTTAACTTATATTTTACTCCACCATTAATGGTGAGAGTAGATAATACATCAAGTTGAAAGTATCAACGAACATGACAAATGAACCCAAACACTCAAAACAATACAACTTTTGCAATCTTCTAATTTTGAAATACTTTTTTCAATTTAGTGTTCGAAATGCAAGAGAGAACGTCCAAAATCATTAATAAGTTAATGTTTATGACACACTATACAATATAACTATACTTCAAAATGGCCGCCAGAAACAAGATGGCCACCCAAAAGTTAATCAGCTCTAGAACTTGATATCCTCTATCATGTGTGCGAATTTGGAGAAAATCCGAAGAGCGGATTTCCTGAAATGGCGATGACAAGATTTATCGAAAGCCTTCAAAATGGCCACCTGAAAACAACATGGCCATCCAAAAGTTAATCAGCTCTAGAACTTAATATTTTCTATCATGTGTGCGAATTTGTAGAAAATCCGATGAGTGGTTTTCCTGAAATCGCGATGACAAAAAAGTGGGAAGATAACGATAACGCCGTCATCATGATGGATATATCCCATCGATGGTGTGATAAAAAAGAGTTGCATAAAATACATCATTCAAAGTTTTGCATGAGACTCCGACGCGGGAATGGGTGGGGGTTGACAAAAAAATGGACTGTCGCATCGAACTACCCAAGAAGCAACCTAGTGAATCTATCCCCCACACTGCAGCTGGTAGCAACCATAGCCAATGTAGTCACATTTCAAATATGGTGCATTAGTCTTGCCCGTAGCCAGCTTTTACCAGGAGGGGGAGCTTTTTCCAAGGGGGGAGCTTTTTCACAATTTTGGCTAAAAATCATGCGAAAAATTCTCAGAAAGATGAAAAACTGCATGATTTTGAAAGAATTTCTGGCCAGGGGGGGGGAGCTTCTGCTCCCCCAGCTCCCCCTCTGGCTACGGGCCTGTTAGTTCAATTCAAATATAATGGTCCATTCAATATATCGTATTTTATACTGACGGTCGAAAATAAACACAATATCCAAAAACGTCAGTTTTGTTTTTCAAGATGATTGGGGCTGATTGGTCCCATGTAGAGGAACTCACTGAGACTGAAGAGTTATTGGACTCCGTGGGACTTTATAGGGCATAGGTCCAATGCGAGATGACGTGATTCGATGGGATTCCATTTGGTACGTGAGACTTTGCCAATTGATATACAACTATATCGTGTATGAGCACGGGGTTCACATCCATTTCAATACCTTATTACCTATAACCTCAGATGTATCAATGGAATATCATAATATGAGATTTCAAATCATCTACACTTATTCCATCTATCCGCAGTTTTAAACGTATCACTTATACATACTACAGAGAGTAACAGTATAAAAAGCAAATTAGTACAAGGCGATGCCATATGAATCTTCGTACTGTACTAGTCCGGACAGTTAAAGAGCAAGAACGGCACACGACTCAAAACATAACTAGGCTACCTAATAGCAAACGAGTCAGCTAATCTACAGTCGGAAAATTCAACATGGGATGTGGACGAAGCACATGTGGATGGATGGTTGATATCTTGTTTGTTTTAATTGGTAAGTTTTGTTTCAATTTTGTTGCAAAATTATTTATTACAACTCATTTTATTTAGTGTGTATGCAACTGAAATGTTACTTAAGTAATGAATGAAAAAACATCTCTATTTTGTATGAAGAATAATATCTACAATTATTTTTAGGTTATCAATTTAAATTTATTCTTCAATTTGTATTGTAATGACTTTGAACCGCATGCATGAATCGTGGGGGAGAGAGTATTAGACATTGTTTGTTTTCACGTTAGATCATGGTTTGGGATAGTTGGGGTTTGTTTTCCTTATGGCTGGTGTACTCTTAGACGTTTTCTTGCTGTGTTACGTAATCATTTTTAGTCCTTTCCCTTTGGCACTTGTGCATACATATCTACATGGGCGAAAATGTATAAATTTCCTATAAAATGTTAAAGTAACAGTTGCTCTAAAAAGGTTCAAGATAATTTATTTTTAATTTATGATTAAAGAGGCTCATGAGATTCTATATCACAAAAGCTTTGTAAAAATCGAATCAAATAAATGGTCATATTTCATTTGGAAACAGCAACTAGTTCTTTAATTAGTACACTCACGCGAAATGTGCAAACTCGTTCTATTTAGTTTGAATGCAACTAAAACGTTGCCAAGAGGTATACCAAATAGTATAAACTATTAAGTAGTACATTAATAAGATCTGTTGATTCAAAAAATATCGCATCTATTCAACAAAGTTAATATAAAATTCCTTTAAATAAGATATTAAATGTTACAGTTACATTAAAAATGGTACAGATAGTTCATCGTTAATTCATATACACTTCACAAAAACTTGACCGAGAAACATTGAAAAAATTGACACATTAACAAAAAATGTTTTTCAGGTCATAATTCAGGTGTAAGCTCTAAAAATTAGCATATCCATACGAAACGTGCAATTCATAACTTAACTCCTCAATGGTCCCTTTTCTTATATGAAATTTTTATTGGTTCATTCAATGGCTTTAAATAAACTCAGTGGTGTTTTACAATGTTTGGTTCAATGAATTTATAAATTCGTTAACTTGGTGATGTTTTACAATGTTTGATTCAATGAACTCATATTTGGTGAACTTGGTGATGTTTTACAATGCTTGATTCAATGGACTTATATTTGGTGAACTTGATGATGATTTACAATCGGTTCAATGGACTTATATTTGGTTAACTTTGTGGTGTTTTACAATGTTTGGTTCAATGAACCTATATTTGGTAACTGGGTGATAGTTTTATAATGTCTGGTTCAATAAATTTTTATTTGGTTAACTTGGTGATGTTTTACAATATTTGATTCAATGAACTTATATTTGGTCAACATGGTGATGTTTTACAATGCTTGATTCAATGGACTTATATTTGGTGAATTTGATGATGTTTTACAATATTTGGTTCAATGAATTTATATTTACTTAACTTGATGATGTTTTAAATGTTTTGTTCAATGGGCTTATATTTGGTTAACGTGTTTATGTTTTACAATGTTTGTGCCTCGGTGTTTTCAAAAGCACTAAACACCTCTTTATCAACGTGATTAATGGCAAATATAGTTAAATCCATTCATGAGGCAACTTATCATGTCATACAGAACTACTAGATCCTCGCATGCGAAATGCAATACAACTTATTTCATGTACTATCACACTTTATTTTGATTAAATAAAGCTAGACCTTGAAACATAGGGTGTTAATGAATTCAAGTTGAATGAGTTTCTCAATAACAATAATCTTGGTATTCAACTGCGATCAGGAAGCCACAGCCCCCCCCCCCCCCTTTGCAAACTAATGCAAACACTTTTCCTCTTATAATTTATATAATTTAGGGTTCATTCATCCATGATAATTTTTTCGAAAATAAAACGTCAGAGAAGTATCAAAATATACAAGAGGCCACACATTAGTCAAACCACAAGCAATCCAAGATTCATAAAAACCTTTTGCATGAGGCTGGAATATTAACGCATTTTCCATATAAATTGCCCTGTGGTCTTTTGATTCCTTATTTCTTAGATTTGATAAGCTTTTGTGTTCACTGGATCGGGCTGTATATATTCGTGTTTACTTCATTTATCATGATACAAAAACCTTCTTGCCTAACTAAATATTTTGTCTGATTATATTGCAATTATGTAATTTTCAGCATATGCAAGCCTGGCCTGCCTGGTTTTTTTCACAAAGCCACCAGAGAAAGGTTTCATGTGCTCAGATACTTCAATACACTATCCATATATACATGAGACTGTGAGCATCATAACACTTCTAGCAACGACCATAGCTATACCTTCTTTATTGGTAAGTAAAATATTATATATGATCCCAATATCATAAACCTCGAGTCGTATAAGATAGAAGAATCTCTATTCAGACCAAACTTTTGAATTAATTCTTGAAAACATAAAATACTAGCTAGTAGATCACAGAATCCAAATCTCTTTGATGAGATGTTATATTCATTCAAGGCACTAGAAATAGTAAACAAATCGTGAGAAATTCCTTGTTTCATGCCCCATCTTTCAAACATCATTTGAAAGGATAATAACTCTTTTAATTGAGGACAAAAATGTTGACTTGATTTATAACGCGTGTTTTGTGAGAGATGCGTCAATATATAAACTTAATATTCCGAAACTTTGTAGCTCTAAAGGGCTATGGAAGGAAGGTCTTTGCAAATATGATGTTTGCATTTGTAGCATGTGACATCAGACTCTTTAAAAATAGTGGATAATGAAATTTTGTTGTTTGCCAATGAACTAATATTGCTGACAAAATAATTGTTAAAAAAAGATCTTGTTTCAAGTTTTGCATATGCTGATAGGCCAGTTTAAAGATAGCATTTTTGGAAATGCGATTAACAAATTCTAATCCCTATATCCGAAATAAGGAGTGATAGTTTTGATCTTATCCAGACATCCGCATTTCAAAAATACCATTTGTATATCTTGTTCCTGGTATCATAGTTAAAAATATCATAATCATAATTGTCCCACGATAACTGTAAAGATTTGGGGCTTTTACTGTGTAAAACATTTTTGAACGTTTCAAATTTCCTTTAGATAGTACATGAGGAAACGGAAATGAAACAGGTTAGAGGGAGATAGATTGATAGGAAACATCAATGTAGAATGGAAAAGCACATAGACATATTTATAACATTGTCTAATACTTAGGTAGAATTATATCAGATTTGATATGTGAAATCGAATGGGAGAAAAACTGCCAATACAAGCCTGAAGGCGCCACTTGGTCGTCATGTAGCACGTGAGATATTGTGCAGTTGGTGTCATTAATAAAGGAGCGTTCAAAATATTTTTCCTAAAGAAAGTTAGAATTGAATACCAGTTCGCAAAAACAGCCCCTCCCTTTCAAAAACCCTCGTAATACGGTCTAGGTGAAATGTCTTAGAATACGATGCTACCGCGGTATTAGTAGTAGTTCGTTTATAAACAATTCAATTCATGAACCTACCATGAATGTACCCCGCGCGCAGAGTCTACCGAAGACAAAGCTCTTTTTAAGAAGTGAAGTCGAACGAATGCAAAGGGTACATAAATGAGAACATACTGCGAACTTTATGAACGTCTGGAAATTATGTCATGTCAGAAATATTTTTGAAGGTATTTTGTGGTACGGAAGAAAGACTGACTATATCATGTAATTCGGTCGAGTTAGGGCCTGTCAGCAGACATCTAACGAACAGACGCCAGAAAAGTTGTGAATAGGCTCAAAGTTCTGGAGCATCTTCCTGTCCGAGCGCGTTCATGAAGTTCGTAAAGACACTAAATACATTAAATATTGTAATTTGTTCAGTCCATTAGCATACAGTTTAAGCTTGTTCGGCAACAGTGTATTGAGAGCTAGTGTGACCATAACTTACTCTGCTAGTACGTTCATAAATTGTCTTCAATATGGTACGTCCATCTCGTCTTCGTTGTAGGGCTTTGTAGTATCAAGTTCCCCCATGCGGACAACGTTTCCAAGCAGTTCATGCCCGTCCATGGCCAGTATGCGCCCATTATTAAAGGTCAAACCACCTCTACTTTGTTTGTACACGTCTGTTCAACTTTCAAGAACGTAGTGAGAACTATTTCGGTGAAACTGGAGGGATGGGAGAACATCGAAGTTTGATCACATCTTTCTGTTTCACAGAATATTGAGATGGCACGGTATCATGATGCCAGTTGGCGATCTTTAAAATATATTTATTTGCTTTTGAACCCCCTCCTCTCCCATGTCGGTACTTTTACAAACATAAATACGGACTGGGACAATATAATTCTGGTCGCGGTCGTTATAATGTTCTAGAAACTCAGCAACCCGAGAAATATCCCATATATTGTCCTTAATCCAACCGAAGGGTCCCCCAACATACGCAATGAAAAATATATTTCAACGTGTGAGGTTTGATGTGGCCATAATCCAAAACTCAACTGAAAATGGAAAGCTATCAATTCGATAAAAACAAAATTCTAAAAAAAGTTGCTTAACCGCCATTTTGAAAATACCGTTAGAGTTACTGTCGTAGCAACGTCATCCGGCTAATGACCGGTGAAATGATGGCATTTAGGTACAAGAGATGGGGAATTTACGTGCAAATCTTTACACTATACCTCACACTGAGAAAAACGTTACAAATAAAGAAACATAACAATAACAAGTGTCAATAAGACACTGGAATGCAGTATACACATGTTAAACACATTCTGAAAAGTTTACAAAATAACAAATGTAGCAATTTCAGGCAAAAAATCTATGGAGGATGTATCTGTCACTGTGAGTTCCCAGGGTACTTTATCTGTGACAAAAATAACCGTCCCACTGAGGGAGTCAAAAGGTTAAGTGTTGTAATGTTCTAATTTGGTCTTCTTTGACATGTTTGGTGCAGTTTTCGGTGTACATTTTCTCAATGCTTTATGGTTGATTAAGCGTAGTCAAAACAGCGTATGATAAGATGAAGAATGTCGACACAAGTGATACATAAAATAATCATTATTGTTTCGTCGCCAGATGTGATTATCTGCAGTACAGAGTAACTGAGTGGTAGAAGTTAAACTTAGAATTATATTGCAACTTGCAATCTATATTGGTTTTCCTGTGCGATATTGTATAAGGAAAGACACGTGTGCCAGGCTAGCTCTCTGGTGTCAAAGAAAAGGTGGAAAGGCCGTGATGATTGCGATCAGACAAAGCCAATTATCGGTATCCATTTAAAATATGAACAAAGTTTTTATTTGCGGTACTACTTTTCAAAGGGATAACTTTCAGTTGTATCATAACGCAATTGCATTGGATTCCACCATGTGGTACTTCACTTTCCTTTTCCACATTCGGAAGTGAATGAATTCTGCCACGGCCACTATACACAAGCATCATCTGAACAATTTCGGGTCATAGAGTGATAATATTAATATAGCTATTGAATTGAGATCAAATTACATTTTGACCCGATATTTGTTTTGAGTTTTCATTGCCCAAGATGAAGTATAGGTTGAATATGGTTGAGCTAGTCTTCACTAAAATATTTTCACTTTCTTGGGGCGTCTTGACGGTTGCGTTGTTCACCATAGCAATATTGACCTATTTTAGGCATGAACATTATAGGCCTAGATCAGCCAGTGGCCTGCAACTTGCAAATAAAATATATAATAGAAGTATTTGTTGTAATAATCTGATTATATCTTTCAAATTTAATTGGTAACTTGTTTTATCTACAGATTATCGTAACAGAGGTAAGCCTATGCGTGCGGTACAGGTACAAGAAGCGGCTCATGGGAACCGAACTTAGGAAGGGCCTATTGACATTTCTATGGGGATTCGCAGCAACAGCCTGCATCGTTTACATCATTAAAATGTCCCTCGGATCACTACGCCCGCATTTCATACAACTGTGTCAACCAAAGTACTTCACAAGCACTGGGAACTGCACCGGAACGTAAGTTTAAAAACTTGTTTGTATGTGTAAGACGGGTAACAGTTGAGCAAACGGGGGTTGAAAAGAATAAAGCTACTTGTCCAAGGGTTTGAGTATACAGAAAGGGAAAGTGTCAGATATAAGGATAGATAGAATAATGTTATGAAGGTCTGTTAGTTACAATTAAATATTACGTTCATAAATAAGGGTAAATTTGTTCCAAACGATTTTAAATGTGGAAAAATGAGAAAAGTTTCGCTCAAATGAGTTATTTTTCTTACAAATTCTTTCACCCATCCACTAAATACTAAATGTAGAGTAGATTTATCAAAAATAGACCTCGACTTCATAATTTTACAGAGATTGACATTTAATTTTTTATTCAGAGGCTCCTTTTTCATTTTTGGACGGACTATATTGGAGAGATTTCGCAACTCACTTACGTTTATTTTTCCGTATAACGTATAACTTATGAAGCGTTTGATAACGTAACATTTATTTCGCAGCTCTATACGTCCACAAGTGTGATATTCTTATAAATCGTCGTTTATACGTAAGAATATCACACTTATGGGCGTATAAAGCTTTGTAATAAATGATGACGTAATCGAACGCTTCATAAGTTATACAGGAATGAAAACATGCTATAAGTGAGTTGCGAAATCTGCTCTCTAATAGCGACCAGAAAATGCTCAAACTGAAACAACATCAAAAACAACAATGACCTTATAAATAATCTAAAAATCGTGTCCATGAATATAAATATTACATTATGAACAATCTATATCCTGGCCTAATTTATCATGAATATTCCATTATGACATAAACAAAGATAATCGGAAATGCTCAAAGCCAGGATGTATAACAAGTGTAAGACTAGGGAGATTAGCATTCAGATTTTCAATGTCAGACAGATTCAAAGCTCTTACTGCCATAAAATATTTACATTCTAAATTGCGCAATTAACAGTGCATAAAAGTTCCCTGTGACCAGTAACAGATAAAAAACCTTATCACACCCCACGTGTTTGTTTCGCAACTCACCGAGCAGCACTAACAGTACCAACTGCCATTATGTACTGTGTCATTCAGTTCTTAAAAACAGATGTGCTTCAAACTCAACATTTGACAACTTTTAGAACAAATAAGGTTCATTCAAATCTGGTTCAGACGGCTGAGCGCAGGTTAATTGAAACTAGCTATGTCATATGCGAAGTACAAGGCGGCTTGGACTTGTTTTCCAGTTGTTTCGATTTGAATTTTCTCATCTGACGAAATTAAAAAAGATGCTAGGTTTGACCAAATCAGGGCTAAACACTAATAGGGCATGATGATTAAGATGGAGAAATCCGGAACTACACTTACTGACCCATAGGTGTAACACAACCTAGACATTATAAAATAAACAGTCAGTAATCTAATGAGACTCCCGAAGAAAGTTCTCAGATACATACCAGACCAGATATGCAACAGACACCGGAGAATTAACTTTAGTTTATTCTGCCTAGTTTAGTTGTTAAACATTATAATTGAGCAATTGAACTAAATCATGACACTTTTACATTCCTGGAATATGAACCAAACTTGATACAGTAACACCTGTAAAGGCAACGCCTCTAAAATTAAAACACCTCCATAAGTGGAACACTTTGAAAATTATATTACAAATCACCTCAGTGTAAAATAAATGTTTGTAAGTGAAACAATGTTTGTTGTGGAACAATTTATAGAAGTATCAGAGGTGTTCCACTTATACAGGTTTTACTGCGTTACTAAAACGAACTATTTTACCAATGTCCAGGAACTTGTAATGCGCACCTGGGCAATTAATCTAAAAGTGATTAATTAAATCTGAGATAGTAAGTAGTTAAGTTATTTGAAAACATACACTTTATAAAGAAAACATTGGAATTCTTAGAAGCCAAAATGTAAGGCTATCTGCAACTAACACTCACAAACATAGTGATCGTTGAAGATTATACTCCAAACAATACCAGGTGTTGCACAATCTTAGTGCAAAATCAAGTAAATCAAGAAAAGTATGCAAAAGTTTGATGAAAGACAGTTTAGATCTGCGTTTTGCCAGAATCAAGGAATAATCAGAGGGTGAAATGTATTGTCTTTAAATAGGCGCACATATTAACCCAAGACAAGAGCAATGCATAAAGAGTTCAAACGATACGTGCACATTTTGAGTTCAATGATGCTCGAGAAATTCCGTATTGGAACGAGACGAAATCGAGTGCCAGTACAGAATATCGAGACAGAATATATCCTGTATTGCACTTCAAATCATTCAATATCGTGTGATCCTCTGTATTACTCCTGAGATTGTCCCCTCCGTAGGGGACAATATTTTCTGTGTTGCGACGGAGATGATCAACGGGGACAATCTCAGTAGCAATACAGATTGGTACAGCACAAGAACTGACCATTCAGAGGGCTTCATTTTACAGATCATACGATAAAATGCAATAACGAGCGATCAAAAAATGAAGTTCACGTTGAATCAAGACTCGGAGAATTTTTTGGGAAATTATAATGATAAAAATCGTACCATTATCGTGCAAGTCGTGTAAATACATGAGATAGAATAAAGTTTATGTTTACATTGCTCCATAACACATTTTAATGAACATGCTCTCTTTTCCAATATTACGTCACTCCAGTATCATATCAATCATTGTTTCCAGTAAATATTTATTCAAACCGTTTTATTTGATTCCTACATTACATCATGAATTTGGCCTAAAATCAAAGTAACCTCTGGTGAATATTATCCACAATGATAAAGATAATAGGGAGTTTAAGCTTGCATATAAAATCAAAACACCAATCTATACGTATGACCAATCGCCCATACAAATGCATCGCTTAAATATCTTTCGTTCGCGTTTTGTGTACATTGCAAGCTCCCTATTATGTAAGAAAAAAACTGACGTTAACGTTTCGAAAACCAGGTAGCATATACCATATAAAGGCTTATTAGTAATTAATATTATCCCTCATAATCTAAATCGCTATAATAGCCTACTGATTTCTCATACGATCTTTTCACTTGAAGAAAACAGCCAAATACATCTTAATGGCATTAAGTAACAAGGATCAACGATAGGTTCTATCGAATGTTGCCCAGTATGTTTTCTGAAATAAATGGTATTGGTTGATTGAGTCATCAAAGTGTTTTCTGGGAATCCAATTACGATCGTACCAAAAATGAACAAACGTTGTACATTCTTTCTGATTCAAATGTTTCACATAATTGAAAATGTATATGTTTATCATCTAAAGTTTACGCGTTTATTATCTAAAACGTACACGTTTATTGTAGATATATGAGACTTAATATTGACTACGTCTGCACTAATAACAACACAAGGGCTGTCTGGTCAGCACGTCAATCCTTCCCCTCAGGGCATGCAGCATTGGGAGCATTCTCTGCAGCATTTCTTTTTGTAAGTTTTTTGTTACGCATTATGAAAATCATTAAAATTCATTGTATATGTATGTTACTTAAATACCTTGGTAATTACTTGATTATCAGACTGAAAACTATTGTTTATACTGAACAGTATATCAACTATTTTTTGTGTTATTTGTGTATGTACTGTAAGAGTATCTGTACTTGAAAGTTATGAACATTTCTAAAAAAAAACATGGATACTTTTTGGAGGAATTTGATATTCTAACATATCAGACAGCAAGAACGAAATCATAGAAATGAACAAAAGAATGCTTTTAAATCAATTATTAATCATGAAAATGAATCCGTCATAAATTCAACTGATTTAATTGTTTTGAACTTAAATATTTCAGGTGTATGCCAAGTACAAATGGTCCATCAACAAAACAGTAATCCTTGTACCATTTGTACAAATGCTATTGGTGGCTGCTGCCCTTCACAATGCTGTACTACGAATCGTTGAGCACCAACATCGCCATATAGATGTATGGGCTGGTAGTTTGATTGGTGTTTGCATTGGCATTCATATGGTAAGAACTAGTTCGATCAAACAAAATATAGTACAAGTTGAAGGAAATAGTGGTAAAGTTAAGAATAATCATTTTAAAGCACTTACAGTAACAACTGGGCAATAATTCACGAAGGACTGTGTTGACCAATAGTAAAAACATTACATGTCAGTAAAGTTCTTCCCTCTATCTTATTGGATGGGAATAACAAACTCGAATATGAGTGAGGTATCAATCTTGTGCTTTGTTACAGGGGTTTACAGTGGTTTACGTGGAGCCAAAGGATGTTGGAAGAATGCGAGACAGTTCCTATCAACTTGAATCATCTGGTAGCGTTCCATCAATAGCAAAATCACCAGTTTCAATGGAAACCTTACATGTACATACAGACAGTTTACCTTAACATATATGATTTAGAAAGCTATAGAGCTTTGTAATCGTTTACGAGATCCATTTGGGAACGGGAATCCAATACAAGATACTCATGCCTATGGAACACAGAAAAGCCATAAAGAACGTGGGACTTTAATACCCCGATTACTGGACAAGAATGAATCTGAATGGAACATAGAATACCGAGTTGAATGAAAAACACTTATAATGTTGAGAGTAAACACTCTAACAAAATTAAAATCCTGACATTCAAATGCCATTGAATGTTTAGTACAAAAAGAATCACTAATGCTGTCAAGAGCATTAGAAAAGCACTTGTAAAATACAACCTGAACTATAGTAAAACCTGGCTTCATGGAACACAATCATTTGGTACCTCTAAAACGTGTTCCACTTGGGAAGTGCTCCACTTGCAGAGGTTCATTTAACACAATGTCTTGGAACTCTGAAAAGTGTTACACTAACAACGGTGTTCCACTTTACATATATGTACATAATTATGATAATTATCACATTATGTAAATATAATTCATTTTGAAAAAAGGTCTCTGATCACGACAACGTGTAATATATACACACTGTGTTCTTCTTATTCAGGTCAACATTAATCAGACCAGTCTGGCCCAGTTACCTCCTCCTGATGTGGTAGATTTACGACATTTCAGATTCATAGAGTGGATAACTGGATTAACTGGGCCAGATGGGTTTTGTTATGACAACATCCGAGAGTCACATATGGAGATTGTGATGTAATTGTAGATTTAATGAAATAGTCAAATATATTTTGTAATGATATAGATAACATGTATATATGTATATTTTCGTCACAATGCTTTCACTGCCATAATAAAGGCCAAGCCATGTTTAAATAGAATGTGTTTGTAAAGATGTGTATATCATCAAGAATAATTTTACAGTTATCGCATACAACCTGTAATTTTTAGATTTGATTCATCAGTAACTTCGAGACAATCTCTGATTGATACTTCTGTATACAGAAGTTCAAAAGAAACTATTTTCGTAATTTCTTTTGAATATCTAAATCTTGAGTGGTGCAGGGTACCCATGTATTTTTTCATCCAAAATTCATTTATTGGTTTTTCAAGTGCATGTATGTCACAAAAGGGAAAATTCATAAAAAACAGGTATAATCTTGAGTAGGACTTGACCTTCATTTCGAATAAAAGTTGATCGAAATAAAAAAAGATTATTTTAATTAATTTTTGTTGATGAAGAATTGTGGCCTGGATATCCTGCATCATTCCTATTTAGATCTCAATAGAAATTAAATAATGAAATATGTTTTGAAGAAATTCTGTCCATAAATCAAGATATCTGATGAAATGTCAGCATTGAATCACAACGCTTAGTTTAAACAGCACATATGCAGCTGAGTATTAACATACATGTACTGTTTTACAAGGGTAGATCAAAATAACAAAGGCGATTTATGTTATCTCTTCTTGGCATAACTACTCACACAAGGCATGTAAATCATCATCATTTTAAACAGAGGTGAGTAGATCCCATAATTACCTTGGTAGCAGGGGATTCCCCTTAGCTTTCCCTATATGGTCCTACAAGCCTTACCACATGATATTCAAAATGGCAGACAACAGTAATAATAGTAAGTTTAACAGTAAAGTTGGATTCCTATATGGTTCTATAAGCCTTGTATGGATCTATCACATGAAAACCGTGTGACCCGACACCAACACTGAACTTTTGGAGATCCCTGATTTTAATTATGAACCAGGACCATTCAGCCATATTGAAATTTAATACTCAATCTTCAAGTTATTGGAAATGTCAAACTGTGATGTCATTGATGTCATCTGAGATATACAGTTTGCAGTTATGAATTAGTTAATGAAACGGAATGAAATAATGTTGTTAGAAGCAATAAACATTTTATCTTCAAACTTCATTTTTATCTCTTGACCATATCTATTATTTTTCTTTATGACATCATGCCAAAAGAATGAAATAAATAGCAATAATATCTACAAACAAATAGTATTAAGATTTTTGCATGTATCATTTATTTATTTGTTTTACTTGCAAACATAGAAATCTTTCTGTAATTTAATACATTCAAAATACATCCATTTCACATTAGACAGTACCATTCATTATTAAATAAATAAAAAATATAGGCAAGTTACTGAATTTTCCTCAAATGTAGTTAAGATTCGAACACACCCATGGATAATCCGAACCACATTGGTTGCCCTGTACATTTATTTTGTACACATAAAAGTAGGACATTGTACATGTGTATATTGTGTGTTTACAGAATTCAGATAGCTATTTACTTTACAGCATATAATGGTCAAAAGCCAAGCAGAAATATTTGATGGACATACATGTAGGAAAGCCCTTTAAATTACAGCTGTATTATTGGGTCTATCATGAAAGTATAGGACTATGAACAATATATGCAATTTATACTCTGTATTAAAAAATAAACATTAATTTTTCAGTAAAATTAAAATTTGTTATAATTTTCAATATGTACAGGGTGCTCCATCTTAGTCTGCATAACAGAATGCCAGTTTGCAACTAGATTTTTGCCTCACTCTGTCAGTTTTATGAAATAGCAATAAATGTGCAGCTTTGAAAAAACATATTTTGTGGGATTTTTGAAATCTACAAGAAAGCTGGTAAGCACCCTGATGTTCTGCAATATGACAAGAGTCTATAGGATAGTTTGTATTTGTGACTGAGGCACATAAACTGTTAGTATGTGTTAAGTTGATCACCTTCCTGCACATATCAACTTGGAGACTGGATCCACCACATAAGACAACTGATCAAACTGATCAACAGCAAAGACATGATTCTCATCATGAGCAATTGCATTAACCTCATAATCCTGCTTTAGTCCAATGCCAACAGCAATTATCTCAATTCCCTCAAAACTTGCTCTGTCAGCTTGATTAATAGTTTGACCACTGTTCAGGTTTGAAACTCCATCTGTTAGTAGTATGAGATAATCTGGGGCACTTGCCCTGCCCCCATTAAAGGCTTGGAACATCTGCTCTCTCACAATCTGTATTCCAGCTGCTGTGTTCGTCTGACCAGGCTCATATTTGATGTTGAAAACAGCTTCTTGTAAAGCATCAGTATCCTCATATTGTCCTAAGTAAATTTCAACCTTAGCATTTGTGCTAAATGTTGCAACTCCGAAACGACTTTGACCCTTTAATTCATCTATAACCGCATCAATGAATTTCAACATTGTCAAAAAGTTGGGGTCAGTTACACTACCGGATGTGTCTAACAGAAAGACAAGTTCTGCTACATTGCCACAGCCTGCGCCAGAACCGGGAACTTAAAATTAACAAAGAAAAAGAAATATCTTAATTATGTGAACGTTAAATCTTAATTAATTAATATTAAGGCTAAAAAGAAAAAGCACAATGTGCATAATTAGAAAAAACGATTTTAACAAAACAGCTCAACTATTGTGTATTTCAGTGGTGCTAAATAGCAAAGTACCCCACACACTAATTAGTGACAAACTTTCCCTTTATTGAATCATTATGAAATTTCACATGGACAAACTACAAGCAATTTCCAACACTCAAATTTCTTTGATTTGCTTGAATTTCAATTTTCAAAATTTTATAGTCATTTTTCACATTTATGCTATATTTATGTATATTTGACACTTGAATAAACTTCAACATCCATAACTTTCTAAGTAGTTTTCCAACACATGACTGTTATATGAATTTTAATAACTGATGAACAAGTTGATAGCAATTATGATGACAGTGATTCATGTCTTTGTGTAGATTCATATATGCTTTATGGGCCATCTGAATACATGACGGATATCTTTGGCATCTGTTTCTCCTACCCGTCTTATCCCTTTACTTCCTGCAAAGCGTCTATTGAAATCTTTACCAGTAGCTCTCTTTTTGAAGAATTTTTAAGACATCGGTGTTGTTTATCATATCACCAAACAGTCATTGACAGCAAGTTAACATTCTTCAAAAGATTGCGGGCCTACAGTTGTGTGACCATATTCATCACAGGGGTTGCCAGGGGGATTCCACCCTAATACCTTTTGCTGTTATTGAATAGCTCACAACCGTTAAGTAGATGGTCTTTTGGAGAGGGCATCACTACATCAACACAATTTTCTTTTAATTTTACCCGGAATTCAGGGATATTGTAGTGCTGCTTGTATGGATTCATGGCCTTCCTCAAGCATCCTAATCTATCCCACACAAGGGTCAACATCCCCCCCCCTAGGAAAAAGCAGGTGAAGTCACGGTGGCACCCCCCTCCTGGCAGGCCTTGTGATTTGAAAGCCTTAATATTGAGTTTTGGAAATTGCTTGTAGTTTGTCCATGTGAAATTTCATAATGATTCAATAAAGGGAAAGTGTTTAAAACAAGTTTCAAAGTTTGTGACTAATTAGTATGTGGGGTACTATTTAATTGGCATACACACATTTAGTCTTTCACTTCAAACTTATACACGCTTATATATTTGTTATGTTTATCATGCTAGCACTTAAAGAATCCAGAATGAGCTTATTTAATCATACAAGATTTTTCATGATCTATATTTACAGATATACTGTATTAAACCTGAGTATCATGCACAAGATAACTAATGAGTCTATACAAACTCACTTATATAACTGATACATATAAGTAATAGTACAGCAATGATATTCTCAGCCTTACCTATTACGTTGTAGTCTCCTATATCTATGAAATCTTAACAGTTAAAGCCTGTCCATTCGGGGCTGCACTGACATGTGTAGCCATTTTGGCTTTCATAACATAAGCCGTTATTCTGACAGGGTTCGCTCTCACATGCTCCCTCATCTGGTGAATCTGAAAGAGGCGTATACATGTATGATATAGCTCAATAGATATACTTACTCAATGACCTAATTTACCAACATGTTAAAGGCCCTAATATGGCAAAACACTGAACAACAGAAATATATGCATAGGACATAAATATAACTGTTGCATTGCCTATTGGCTTGCATTTACAATTTAGAGATTCTTTTAATAGGATAAGTGTTGTAATCATGAATTCATGTGAATTCAAAGATCCATCATGATGATTACAGTAGATCTCTTCATTTTCATTCACTTCGAATTCTAGGTGTGTTAGACACATTTTAATTTTAGACATCAGGCTATTTATTACAAATCAGATTACATAATTGTTTAATGCATTTATATTTAATAAGTACATAATTTGTTTATTTATTGTCACACATACAAACACATAGAAATGAATTATTTTTTATGATATTTACTATTAAACAATTCTACTATTACAATCGCATAATTTCCTCCTGATAAATCATAATTTTCTCTTTATATGGTCATAGTATACAGGTAGCTCTAAAGTAACATATTTACAACAGAAATATGAATACAGACATTTAAATATGACTAGACATACAATACTGAGTTAATTTTCTCATAAATCTTAGTGTGTATTGAGACATTCCAAATCCTGAATGGCATTGCAGCTTTCCCAAATCATCATTTTCATTGGTCCTTGATTAGGCCATTAACTCTTTAAGAACAAGGAATCAAGTTTATGGATGAAATCGGAAATACAATATACAAGACTATTATTTCAAAACTGACCATCCTTCATGCTGTTAGGGATGGGGGCAGCAAATACAGTGTACTTTGTATTACTATTTTCTGAGATCCCTCTCCTGTCAAGCCCAAAAAGCAATATGTAATGAGCCTTCCAAATTATCAAAACTGCAATTTTTTGAAATCATTGTATGATGATGAGGACTTGTAAAAAATGAATCAAGCCATATTTTGTACAACTATTTGAGAGATTCCTTTTATTGACCAGGACCCCTTTAGTAAGCCATAGAAACTAGATAATATAGATGTACGCGAGATACACACAATTCAATGGCAAAAAACACAGCTGCACCTCAACACCTCATGGTTGCTAATTAATGCTGTCCTGGGTAAATGGGATTTATAGAAAATACTGCTGGATATATCTTGAAAAATATATAAGAAATATCAGCAGGTCGTCACTTTTTAGATACTTGCACTATATGTATACATCATAGATTGTAGAAGCTGAAGATAATACAAATGAATGACTGAATCTGTACTCTGACAACAGTAAATAGCATCGAACCGTAAAAATATTATATACACACTGCACTGTTTACAATAAAACTTATACAAAAGAAAGTTAAAGAATACAATATTGTGGGGATTTCAGAACAAAAATAGAAAAAAGAAAAAAAAAGTACAAGACATTGTACATACACACTGTTCATTATAAAACTTAAATATTACTTCTATGGCAGTGCATTGCTTGTACGAGTCGATGATGTGCTTTTGCATATATAGTATAGAATGAGCATTCCTGGTTTCTTTTTGTTTAAAAGTTGGTTTGTTAGTATTGCCTGAAGGTGAGATCCATTGTATGGAGCCCAGTCCATATCTGTGCGTTTATGTATGGGGTGACAAGGCATGGATCTGGGGGTACTTAAAATAATATTTCTGCATCATGTAAACTTAGACTTATTTCCGGTCAACTATCTTGAATTATCAACATGTCTGTGTGAATCATTGAAAATATTTCTTAATGGGCATCATCACTTTGAACTCCCAGATCCAGCCCTGTGTTAGTGCAATAAAGCAGAGAGTAGAAGATAAAGATTCAAGTCAGAATGGTGGATAGAAAGCTACAGTATGTCCAGCTGATCAGCTAGTGAACATTACATGGTGTTCACAAATACAGTACAGAATAAAGAATGCTCCAAAGCCAAGTGTACAGTACAGGGTGTCCCCTAGACTAGTTTCCAGGTACGTATGGGAGGTCATAGCCTTCACGATAGTAACGCCCATCAGGACCGTAAAAGCTGGGTCGCCCTGTAATCGAATCAAAGTGCGATGCAGTAAAACATATTACCAGTGTATTGGTTAAATTTTGTAAGGTTACTTTATTGAGAGTTAAATCAAAATCTGGGTTAATAAAAATAACATGTTTTACTGCATCTTAAAATATAAATCTTACAAAGACAGAACAGTTAACATTAGTATGAGCAAATTATCTTCATTATTTTAAGATAAACATTTTACATATCTTAACATTAATGCATGCACTATAAGTCCTATTATTAAGAGGAATAAATGTCTAGCTGAATTAATCAAATTATATTAATTAATTAATCAAAGCTAAGGTGTTTTTTACTTTATTTTTAGTAGAAGTGTTACGATGTGCAAGGGAAGGGTTAGATTCATTCAGGTAACCATAATTCTAGCTATTGATGGGGTACAATAAGAAAAAAGACTGAACCATGAAATGATATGTCAGACTCTATAAACCTACACATTATTAGGACCATAGAAAAAAAATCAGGGGAATGTAAACAGAGAAATAAATCCAGGGAATGGTATCGTTATACTAACAACACAACAGTGATTAGTCAGGATTTCATAATAAAAGTTCAAGAAGACTAACTCTAATGATGAACCTACACATAAGTGGGACCATAGAAAAAAAATCAGGGAATGTAATCTGAGAAATAAATCCAGGGAATGGTATCGTAATACTAACAACACAACAATGATTAGTCAGGATTTCATGATAAAAGTTAAAGTAGACTAACTCTAATGATAAACCTACACATAAGTGGGACCATAGAAAAAAAATCAGGGAATGTAATCTGAGAAATAAATCCAGGGAATGGTATCGTAATACTAACAACACAATGATGATTAGTCAGGATTTCATAATAAAAGTTAAAGTAGACTAACTCTAATGATAAACCTACACATAAGTGGGACCATAGAAAAAAAATCAGGGAATGTAATCTGAGAAATAAATCCAGGGAATGGTATTGTAATACTAACAACACAACATTGATTAGTCAGGATTTCATAATAAAAGTTAAAGTAGACTAACTCTAATGATAAACCTACACATAAGTGGGACCATAGAAAAAAATCAGGGAATGGAATCTGAGAAATAAATCCAGGGAATGGTATCGTTATACTAACAACACAACATTGATTAGTCAAAATTTCATAATAAAAGTTAAAGTAGAAAACCTTCAGCTTAAGGCTGAACTTTAGTTTCACAGAAGTCTCCTGTAAAAGCTTCCGGACAGGTACATTGTGTAGCATTGGGGGTTGCGACATCACAAAATCCTCCATTTATACACTTAGCATCGCTACATAAATCACCTGAGAATGGCATGATATTATTGGTTGGTTTGAATTATATTTAGATATACATGTATATAGTCCCGATGGTACAAAGTTACTGTGTCAGGCGCTCCCTCGTCTTTGTTCTGACCAGAGTACAGAGGATTAACATCAAAATATTGAGATGAAATAATCTCCATTCACAAAAAAGCAATTTTTTACAATGTTTGGTTGGATT